AACAATAACAGACTGAAATATATTTGTTGTTGATTTTCGTACTGATTTTTACAAAACGATAAATCGCACAAAAAGCCTATTTTTCTCTTACTGCGATAAAAAAATACGTACAAAAAACAATGCAGTGTTATAAACATAGCTCGGTTACAAAACTACATCCGTACGGTGACAAATACAGAGATTTCTCTTATTATTTTTCTCGTATTCAAGTCCAGTATTGTATAGCGGTGAAAATGTTTCCGTAGAGACTTGACAAAACATTTTGTATGGTCTAGTTATCCTGTTGGGACGAAATACGACGTGGTCTGAATCCGGGTTTTATTTTAGTATTTGTTTTATGCGCTACCTGCTTGTGTTATGTACTGCCATTATTTACTAGTATATTGTCTATGTATTAGTGTAAATTTTAGGTATAATTACTTGCTTTAAAATTAAGCATCATTAATGTGAGCAGTAAATACTAATTAAAAAATAATTTATTGATCATATTAAATAAATATATATAACCTCACTAATATGTTATAATGGCCACAATGGCTATTAAATTAATTATAAAATAAAATATGGAATAATAGAATAACAATTACTATTGTATCTCAACAAATAGGTAGATAATGAAAATAATTATTTTTCAATATAATTCATAGCGTATATTTTTTCCTTGATCGTAGCAGAAAATAAAAACTTCAGAACCGAATTACCCGTAAACATATCGTAGGTAACTTCAATATGTTGATACAATAATAAGTAAGGTCCTACAATATAGATAATCTCTAATTATTACATTTTAAAACATATCTAAGGAGTTACCAGTATATGTATATACAAGAAATAAATAATATTTCAATTAATTCACATAGTATCCTCGTATATTTAGCGTTAATTAAAAATATAAAATGAAGTTTTATAAAATGAGGAATGAGAATCCGCGATCTAGTTAAGGGGTACAGCAAGGCTTGCTAAGCGCTATGCAGCCTGGCGATATGCATTGAATATTTTCTGGTCAAAGCAGTGCCCGCATTTCAAGTAGGTTTTATACGCGTGCTATTACGGCAGAGAGGCGGCACTTGACCTAAAACTCTTTCCTTACATTTCTCACGATGAATTTCTATTTTTGTTATTATTCTGCAGGTGCTTTTTAAAGCAATACCTCCGATTATAATGATGCTAGGTTAAGCTTTCCAAAGCTGCGGCAACAAAAAAAAATTAATTGAACTACCTATTTCCTACTGATATCTTTCGTCTATTAATCCATTTACTTAATTTATTATAAAATTTATTTCATTAACAGATGTTAAATAGATCACAGAACACTAATACGTTTGGTGCAGATAATGAATTGTCTTTGGACAATTTAAACTTTTTAAAGGATTTGATTGCTTACAAAATATACCAGAGTTTTAATAAATAGAAAGGAGTTTTGTATATCTAAGTGCCGAAACTGTGCCATTTAAACAAAACAAGAATGCGAAGTAAGTCCGACCATCCCCATGAAGTATAGTCCTTTGCTATGCCATGGTGTAGTATTGTTAATGTCAAGGTAAGGATCGTCTACAAGGAGTTGACACACACCTCTCAAACATGCACAGCCCATAATGTAGCCCATCATAGAGAGCCGCGGCGGCGTAGGCGGCAGCGGCGGGCGGCGCGCGGGCGCGGGCGGCGCGGGCGGCACGGCCCGCTGCTGGCGCCTGCCGCGCGGCGCCCCGCGCGACACCGCGCCGCCTTACAGCAAGCGCGTTCTGTCCTCCGCACACCCGCTCACACCGACAACACCGGCACGCACCCCGATCGCAAGACACTCGGCCGTCGCCTCCAGCTCCATAACGCGACACGTAACACGTGTGACCCTACCGGCGACACCTTAAGCCACTACGGACGTGTGAATATCACACGCTACAACGAAACGCACTATATTGTGCAATTTCCAAGGTAATTTGATTCGTATTTCTAAGGTTTTATCGTATTCCCCAATTATGTATTTAAATATATAATTCGCTGCGAAACTGCTGGAGCGCCGTGGGACACGCGGGCCAGTGCAGCGGGCGCGATCGCGTGTTGGTCGCGCGCTCGATCGATATGGCCCGTTAACTTCGCGCCTCGCAACCATGTACTAACAAATTGCTCCACAACCAAACATGATTATTATTATTATTATTCACAGATTACCAAATACTAATATTATCACAGTAATAAAAAAAATTGTGCATATTTATTTTGAATTCTTATCTGGTGTCAAATTTGTGCCAACAACTTTGTCTACTCGTAAGTAAATGTCAGACTACATTGGACGTCCTCATCTCAAAAGGAATTCAACTGTTGTAATTAGATACATGTTATAAGAATACCAGTGGTCGATGTTTATTTGTGCGAACACGTCTGGGGAAGAGGATTTTGTTGCGCTTATTGCAGACGAAAATACGAACAGTTTTTGTATATGGTCGCGACCTGCACCGTGGATGTGCACGGTAGGAGCGGGCGACGGCGACGGCAGTGCACAGGATGCATGCGGCGCAGCGGGTCAGCAACGGTCGGAGCGCGGCGGGCGCGGGCGCGGGCGGGCCAGCACTGAGGCGCGCGCCGCACGCCGGCGACTGCGCGCCGCCCGCCCCGCGCCTTTCCCGCCCCGCCCCGCACTCCGTCGCGAACACTCGCACCCGCAGTACAGTACACATCCACTTCTCTACTAACACAGCCCTACTGCCGCTGCTGCCACCCCTAAATATACTGCTAACTCGTACCGTGATGCAGAACTAACCCGATATTCTGCCATAACTAAATCCTTGCTTTAAACGCCGTAAAAGCCGAATAAAATTTTACTAAAATGTTTGATTTTACTAGAAATTAATTTTGAAGCAATGCAATTAACTTATGCCTACTAACATGAGACAGAAACAAACCGAAACGGTTAATTTATCAGCAACATACATGGATAATTCAATCAAACAAATATACACTGTAGCAAATATGAACTGATTAAGAGATACGTCACCACGCACAAAATCAATATATTTGTGGCGACTGATAACCGATTGGTGTTATAATTAAGAAATTTAATAGGCATCAACTATCCGCGTGATGTGACGAATGTGTGACGTCAATTGGGCAGCGACGCGTCGGTGGCGGCGGCAGCGGCGGCGGCGCGCGGCGGGTCAACGCTCGCCGCTCGTCCTGCCGCTACCAGTGCCAGGAAGCCGCTAATTCCCGCCACGCGTTGCTTTTCTCCACTCGTGAATACGACGCACGTTTCTCTTTTTTATTCTATACGCGACATATTGAGCTTTTTAGAATTTAAGGCGACAATCAACTCCAAATTTATGTTTCAAATTAAACCTGTTCAATTATGATGTGTGAATCTTCCTAAAATGCAGTTCAAAGTAAAACTGAAAAATTTATATATCCCATCTATAATATTTAAAAGGGTAATTTAATCTAAAATTTAAGGGAACACATCGACACCAAAGAATGGACTCGTCCTATTATCGTCGTCCTCGTCATTGGGCTTTTGATAAGCTCACTGGCTACAATAAAATTGGGCGACACACCGTGTCGGGTACATCAAAGGGTGGCCAAGCTTCCGCGTGACCTGTTGATTCTACTTCAACACGATTTTCGAGTTGTAATTAAGCTCGAATGAAAATTAATTGGGTAGCGTTTCTATATTTGGCAGAGGATATTTTAAAATCGAAATAGATTTTTTTCAATGTTCATATTTGATTTTATCATTTTATTTCGATTACGCCGTCGACAGAATTCTCTGTAGAGTTGTTTTCCTTTAAGTATATACCCAGAAACATTTATACATTTACACAACATTTTTTCAAATACCTTTGTGTCAGAACATCGTACCATTCAACTGCGCATAACACAATTTTAGGCGCGGTGGCGTTAAGGGGCATATGGGGAGGACACTGCGCAGATGACCTTGAACCGCTAAAAAGATTGTAATTAATAAGAAACTTTGGAAAGGTATTATCGCCTGTAAAGTCTTTCGGATATTTATTAAATGCTGGGTACGCTAAGTATAATTTGTCCGTTTTATTATATTTAAAATTTACTTTCACAAATATATTTCAAATTGCTTAAAAAGTTACTTCACAAATGCAAATTTAACATAAAAAGTTATCTTCTTGATATCTTTATTACTTTGGATTATGATCGACATTAAAACAATCGTATATGTCCTAGGTGATTGAAATGAATGTAGTCAACAGGGTTTAATGACCTAGGTTTCAAATGAGTCGCGATCGTTATTCCGAGTGCTTAGACGTTACACCCCTCCGTAAAGTTGGTAAGCGATCGAAGCCGTTCATTCATTATGCCTCAACATATGCAAGTGTGCACACGTAAAATTTGCATAATACAAATTAAAAGGTGAAAACATACTTCCGCCTTGGCTTACTCTTTTAACTTATTGTAGAAAACTATTAATTTTACATCTAAATTGCAACCACAACCGTAAAGATTATTGATAAAGTTACACTGATACGTCTCGTTAGACAAGTTGCAAACAAGAATCCATTAGTGCTGTGAGTGCAAAAAGTGTACCTACGTGTTAAATCAATGCATTTGTAATATCTTTATCTCCAACTATTAGCAATGTCTGTGGTATCTAATACGCAATCCTAGCAATTACATGGATTTGCAATCTCAATGCATTACGACAATTCGCATAATAGCCGTTCGTACACCTGGTACAATAATTGGTTTATGGTTTCCATTTTACATAATAGGTTTTGTTTTAAATACTACTTATGCCATCTTCTAGAGAAAGCGGGATTATTTATATTACACTTACGTAAGTAAGAAACGTAATATTTCGTTATTCATTCACTAAATATGATATAAATACACAAATTATTTAAAAATAGAAATAAATGCAACTTAGCAAAACCAGATGTCGTTATTCACAACAAAATAACGAGATTTTCTTCCGAGAATACAATAGAAGAAATTATTTTACTATGTTATATTTATTAAGTGTAAAAATATTGACATACCTATGACATTGTTGTTCTGGTGGTGATGGTGCGCTGCAGCGGCGGCGGCGACGGCGGCAGCCAGTGCGGCATGCTGCGCCTGTTGGGCCTGCTGCGCGAGCTGCGAGGCAAGCTGCGCCTGTAACGCCGCGTGCATCGCGCCCATGCCGCCGCCAGGCCCGCCCCCGCCGCCGCCAGGCTCACTCCGCGTCTCCTCGTTGTACTCGGCAGGCGCGTCCTCATCTACGACCGGAATATACGTAAGCATTTGATCTTAAAATAAATCGATTTTAATACTAAAAACAAAGTTATCGATCTTACTCTGACTGCAACAACCAAAGTCGTTTAGGTATAATTTAAGCAGTCCCTTAGTTCAGATTTTTTACAAAAAGCTACTCTCACAAACGTCTACTTCGTATGTAGTTCATAAGTCTACGGGTCATTGCATCTTAAAAATTCTGATTTTTTTACTCCAGACCTAATTTTGGATAGTCAATATTTAAATCGAATTTGATTACAAATTTTAATAAAGAATGAACTATGGGATCATGCTTTGGACACTTTGATTTGAATGGAGTCAATGGAAATATTTTTTTATTAAAAAACTTTGACATGAAAATAAAGCTTTGACAAGCTTTTAAATCCGCACGTATTTTTCTGTCAGCCGCAGAAACTAAAAGGTAACCGAAACTGAAACGAAATATTAATTACAAACGAGAAATAGCCACATCTATCTGTTATATAAAATTTGAAACAATTTTAATACTTCAATATTTTACATTCTGATATGATCTGATGGGTTTTAACATCACTTCAAGCGAAAACACAAGAACTCATAATCTAAACTTGCAGGGATAAAAAGTAATTTAATAAAACCATGACATTCTATATAACGTTGTGTTACCTACGAATATAATCACAATAATATGATATATCATTACTATAATAATAAGAAAATTAAATAGCGACAGCCAAAAAGAAGTTAACAGACGCCGACCACTTATCCAGTCGATTCTTTCAATTTCTAACCGAGCGTCTCGTTCGAGCTGAAGTTCCGAAACCACTTTACCGCATACTTGACTTCTATTTAACGTATTGAAATGAAAAATAAAAGAGCTATAAATAAACACGTAATAAAAATATTAAAGAGAATAAATAAAAATGCAAACACGTATTTTGATTCCATTGAAAAATGTTGTTTTATCTAACTTATATTAGAATATTTATATCCATTTATCGTTACTGGCAACATTGGCAAATTACGAAGTTTCACTGTAAATTAAAAAATAAAATAATGATAATGTATGTAATATAATTGTATTGAATCTTCAGTGCCAATTAATATATAATTGCAATTAAATATATAAACTCGCGACGTGTTATAATAATAACAGGAAACTATCATTCAAGATTTTCATCCTGCAATCATTTTAATAACGTCCTGCGAATAGCTAACCATTAATATATCATCCCGTGATTACCAATTGATCATATCTTACAAAAAAACGACAAGCTAATATACACCTCGAACATTTTTATTAGACTCACTACCGCGTTTCCGCTCGCGCGAAATTTAAAAAAAACTTATGTCTTTTTCCAGACTACTTTCTACATCTATTCCAAATTTCAGTGAGATCCGTGCAGCCGTTCTGGAGATACATACATTCAAACAAAGGAATTTATAACAATAGTTTTACTTACTGCCTTCAGGGACAGGCGTCACTGGACTCTCCGGTAAGAGAATTCCCTTTTGCACTAATTCATCTCTATTTGCTCGGACGGATATCTTCCTCTCTAACGCTGCAACAAATAAACATTAACATAGTACAAATGAATAACATATCGTATTACGTACGTATTATTACTTTAAGTCTTGACTGCATAAGTGTTTTACCGTTGGCCCAATCGGCTTAACGATCATAGGTCCAAGGGGAAAATATTCTTATTTGGCCGATTAAAATGATACTTGAATTGTGTTATGTGTATTATTGTGTGTATATATGTGTATACGTGTGTTTTTAACATTGATAGAGCCCGCTTTAACATCTTCGCACGAATTGGCACGGCTCGCCAGGTAAAATACCACGACCACACAGAAGACAGGCGTGAAGTGGAAGCAATTCCGCGTTTCGTCTGATGAGTGTGCGTCCCGGAGGCCTAATTTAGTCCTCTTTCCCTTCCCGCCCCTTTTTCTTTTAACGAAAAGATGGGAAGTGGAAGTGGACTTTCCGGATGAGAGGATGCATGGAAAGGGAAGAATTTTCTTTCTGTGCATCCTCTCCTCCGTGGATTAAAGGTAGGCAACACATATGCAATTGCGTATGTCTATGGGCAACGGTCACTTCGCTATTTCAGCGATTTCAGCTGGCTGCTCGCTCGTTTGCTGCCTTATGATATTAAAAAAAAATTACTATCCCTATACGTCATTTTTAAAAATATGATAATATGATATTTTTATGGTTAAAATCCTACATTTCAATACTTTATTTCAGTATTTTAGATTTTATAAAAGGGTACTTTATTGAACTTATTATTTTAGTACGTAGTATGTTTACTTACTTCTAGAAGCTGCTTCAAATTTTTCTGATTTCTTTTTCCGTTTCCACTTCCACGGTTTAAATAGTCTACCGAATGCGGAGAATTTTGATTTGGTTCTCTCCGCGGGCGGCGTGCGCGCGCCCGAGCCCAAGCTATTGGTACGCACCGCTGAACCATTCTGTTTTTTGGCTGCAACAAAGAAACGAAACATTAATTTATCGATTTAATTTTAATATTGCTTATACAGAATTAACTATAGTATTTTCTAGAAAATTACAGATTAAAACAAATTAGCCATCAAGACGTACTAATATGTAAGAGAAACAAACGTAAAATGAAGATACGTTATTTACTTTTATTATGGGTAAATTATTATAAAGTTATTAAATAATGATAAAAAATTATAAGAGCTAAAATTGTATTCAACAAAATAATTATTATTTAATTCTAATGCAAAAAAGACGACACGGAAATATGATAATATTGTAATTCCCCATAGACATACATAGTGGGCATTGCAAATGCGATAATTATTAGTTGCTAATATTATTTTGTCAAACATACATTTGTAAATCATTATTGATAAGACGTTAACAATATTTAAAAGCAACGGTTAAACTGTGTCCAAGCTAACGAAAGTAAAAACACAGATACAATAAACCGTTGATATTTCAAAATACGACAGCGTGACGAATATCGTCACGGTCATTTCTCATTGGGATAGGCAGTGTAAAGAGGTCAACGCCGATTAAGCCTCTGTTTCATACACGCATAGTTTGTATTTATTCTTACATACAATATTTAATTATAATCATTAAACGCTAAGTGCACTATTTAAACATGACCGCAAAGTGTTATCATCGACTACAAAAGTGTTCTACATAGACTGCCTAGATAGTTTTATATAAATTGCTAGATTTTTTAATATAACACTGCTGTTGCCTGCGACTCCCTCCGCTAAATTAAAAAAAACTTAATAAGCAGCAAACGTGTTCTTCCAGACTATGTTCTGTCCCTGTATCAAATTAAATCAAAATCCGATAAGTCGTTCCGGAGATAATATCAAACAAACATCCATTATCTATCCATTCATCCATCCAAACATTCGCATTTATAACATTATAAAGTAAGATAATACCTAAGTTTCAGAAATATATTGCGAAAGTAATCATATATTCTAAAGAAATCAAGTAACTTATAATGATGACCACATCCCTGACTAACAAGATGAAATAAATAAGAAAGGAAGTTTCATTCCAAATGCACTTATCCAATTAGTAAGAAGAGGATTACAGCAGCGATGCATTCTTCAAAATTCGTCATTGATATAAATGTATGCGTTATTGTTATCGAATAATGAAATGATAATTCAAAAAATAATAAACATTAATAAAATATTATATCTTACTACAAATATTTATTTCATAATGAAGTGTAACCCAGTTTAAGTCAGTTAATGTTACAAAAATACTTCTTTAAGAAAATAAAATATTGATGTTTGTTTTCCAACAAGACGCCAAGTACGATTTCGAGGAATATTTCAACGTCTTTCCTTCAATATTTTAATGGATAAGCTTTCTTGTTCAAACAGAGTTTTGTTTTAAAATAATCGATCATATAACTGATAACTAAGTGAAATTAATCTGAATATTATCTCCGAGCTAAGTTGACAAAATTGTCCTACAATGGTTACAAAAAAATTGTTAAAAAATAATTTCCGTAAAGCTATATACAGGTTTTCGATATAATCTGTGCATATTTCGTAAGTATTAAGAGATAGCATTTAATTAAGTAATTCAATCACTCTTCTGTGTGATCCCTAATCCATTAGCAGGCATATTTAAACACAATTTATGATCTAAAATTATAAATTGATGCGATTCGCTTGTAAAAAAGTTATTACATAAACAATCATGACAGAGTAGGCAATTAGAACTGATTATAGGTAACCACTAATAAAAAAAAACATAAATAAGTCGTATAAATGTACTGGTGTTCCGTATAGGACGTAGTTAATGTACGAGTACGTAACAGATACATAACACAGCGTGAGAGATAAATGCAACACAATACTTGCGCATGTACGGGTATCGGACGACATCAGTTAATACAGTATGGGTATTGATGCACACATACACAATCAACGGCCCCATTAAGTCAAGGGACTATTGTTAAGAAACATCCGCACCCATCCCTCACAATGCCGACGACAACAAAGTGGTTTTACCTTCTAGTTGTGGTCTTACTTTCTTACATTCATTATTAATTCCGTTTCTTTATTGAACTCAATTGATCAAATGTTTTTCTGCTAACATTCAACCGTAGTATGGGTTATTTCCCTATGACTATGGCCTAGTCACCCTGAACTTAGGGTAGGCTCCGAGCCCCTCGGTGGGGACGTATTGTGAGCTGATGATGATGGGTTATTTGTGTACAACCCATAAGGATAGTAAATTTCTAAAAGTATGTAGTGTCCATAGCACGAAAGAAATGTGAGATCATTTAACTGTGTAATAAATGTGTGATAAATTGTTATAAGTAACATCGTACAAATATTTTACTTTACTGCGTTAACTTTGCTTGCATTAACTTTTTTTATTGAAGTCCTACCTGTGCGGGGTTTTGTGTAAAAAAACACTCGCACGGAACCTTTATTATCTGCATCGAACAGGTAAGAAGAACGCGGTCGATGTCCGATTAGTTATATTGAAAAGATTTGTTTATAATTAGACATCCGAGGACCATTTTCTTTTGTTATAACATATGACATTGATTACTCGCCTTAATTGACTTGGAATGTGATCTTGACTTAGAATGTGGACTTGACTTAAGACCAACTGTCACGTAACATAACCTCTGGAAAAATTTTAAACCTACGCTCTGCGTATTACCTTCTGGTAATACGGTTGTTAGTGCTTATACTCTAAAGCAACGACAAGGGATAATCAAAGCTTATAACGTGACGCGCATATGAATAGAACACAAACGTTTATATGCAAACAACGTGTAAGGTTCTACAGCGACGGTAAACATTCTTAGAAGGAACAATGCATTGTACGTATTATTAAGTCAAATACGAATATTACTTTTAACAAGAATACATTCTCCGTTTATCAGCATTATAATTAGGTCTCTATTTACTGTACCAGGAAGGTGCCAGTCAAGATAAGTACAACTACAACAAACAAGTCATTATTGAGATAATGTTCTAGATTTTGGGTACAACATAACTCGTAACATTACTAATTCTCAGTTGTCAGTGATGAGTTACCACGCTAAATACAATTTATTTTGTACACTATTTCTGTTTGGCTTTATTTAAAAAAATAACGGTTAGAAAGCAGAATGGTGACCTCAGTTCTACATGGTTGACAGCGGATGCTCCATATTGCTCTTTTTACAGTAGAAGCTAGGCTAGTCAAAGTTAATAGTTGTTTAGGAAATATTTTTATAAATGTATAGTTAATCATTTCTGATGGAACGCGGCTGCTCCTTTGTAGGAAAAAAAGGCTGGTGATGATGATGAGTTAATTATTACTAACATGGACAGAAAGACTAAAATATAAAAGGATAGAACATAGTGTTCTAAGCATAACTAGACATTCAACTGTTGATTTTTCTTACTATAAAATCTACCGACAGACAAGAAAAACTAAGCAAATTTTTTGTAGAATAATTGCCGCAACATCGTAACATTATTGTTCGGATTGTGGCAAATTACATTGAGATTATAACTGTGGCCTAGTAAATTTAGTGAAATCTCGCTATGAGTCACCGCTGCGCTGGTGTCGTATTGTCGACACCTAGGCATTCAGTACGAGTGGTCGCCAAGATCAGTGATGCAGCGTGGCTTTGCCGATGTCCTCGCCATTGCCACACTGACTGCCATTTCATTACCTATTCTTCGTCTATTGTGAATTTGAAAATACACATAATATTATTCTTTTAAGATTCCACCTTGTAACGAAGGTTCAGGATCATTGTCGTCTCAAAACATCAAGACAGTTGAATTAAATAATAAATGCTTCATTTTATTAAACGACCAGAGTAGATATTGCATTTTATATTCTTCTCAGATTTCTTGTCATACTTAAATTTACCATGACTTACTGCAAAATTCGCTCTTAAAACAATGCAAATATCAAGATGTAAAGTTTCCAAAATTTAGGAGTCCTTGTTTATCTTATAGCGATGTAAATTTTTGAAGGATAATATTACTTAACTTGAAAGGAATGTTGTAGCTGTTGATAATTCTATCATTATCAGCAGATCTCTTCAAACAACGTTTAAGGCACATTCAACTTAGTTTGGAGCAAGATGAATCATTAAAAACAAAACATCTCGTAAATAAGGATTATGGACTGGCATGGACATCGATATATGACGTCAACTACTATTGTCCAAAGTTGTGTAAAAAATCCTTTTAGATAATTATAAAAAATATGTACTTGTATGTTAAGTAAAATTTTGTTTAGTTAGTAAGTTTATGACTTGTTGCACTTACAATATCGATAGACTTTAATAAAATCTAGATAGATATATTCTTAACCGATTATACTATGTAGTAGATTATAACATATAGTATAGTAATATTGTATATGATACTGCAGTGTTTACTTTGTAACTTCCTCAAAGCTCATGTTCAATCAACGATATGTTATGTGTCTTCAACGCTCATAATGTTTAAATACAAAGACAGATCTAGAAAATTTCTCTCAATTACCAAGCGAAACGAGCAAAACTTAATTAATTCTATGTAGGCAGTTAACTTTAATAAATGGACGTAGTTTGTTAGCATAATGGCATACAATTAAGATGTATATAATTTTAACACTACATTACATTCTCTGCTTTTGTACATTACAGAGGCCAAATGTCAAGTGGCAATATGTTTTCGCAAATCTATTGTTTAGTAGGTAAACCCAGCCAGACAGGAAAAGAGAGAAAACAACAACTGACCGGCGACGGCGGCTACTTCCTTCGCTCCCACGTGCAAGAAATCTGTGAGAGACAAGGAACTTGCGATCAGCTGCCTGCGCTCCTGGAAGTCGAGTTGGTCGAGGCTATTGGTCCTCGTCCCGCGCACCGCCTGGGCGGGCGCGCTCAGAGACATGTCAACTACATGCAGCCATGTCGCACGGACGACATCTTCGGTACGTATGGTGGATACGAGCACAACACAACTAGCAAACACAAAACAAAGACACACGCGAGGCCGGCACGAGCGCAGATAATCACGTTACGTACGTAAAGTATACCTGCGCCGCGAGGGACGCACGACGATGAACTGGCGGGCGTGCGGACGTGCGGGCGAGAGCGGCAGGGCGGGGGCCCGCGGGTGCCGCCGGCTCCCCTGCAACTTGCACTCGAGCCGCACGACGCGCCACGCTCGCCGCCGCCACGCCGCTCTCCGATCCGTGCTATAACTAGGTACCAAACCACGCTTGGTCTGGTTTGGCGAGCCTCCGTTGATATGACGTCACACAAAGCGTTAACTCAAATTTTCGGGTATCTTTAACGCTTCATGGAATTTAAAAAACGAAGTCACCTTCCAGAGAGATTCAGAACCAAAATCATGAAACGAAGGAGTTGAGAAAGTAGGTATAAACTAAGTCCCAAGTCTAGTGGCCTATAAGGATATTTGTATGCAATACGCATTGATGCAACGAACAGAAGGAATGCGATTTGTATTTGTAGCTTAGTGGTATGTATGCAATTGCAACACAATTGTAGTAGATATTTCGCTTCTAAATAGGCGCGCCCCACGCCTCGTTATCGGCAGGTGTGCCCGGTGCAGCCCCTTGCAGCGTCACGGCTCACGGCTGAGAGTCATCGTGGTGCTTTGCACCCCTCAAATTAGTTCAATAACCGCTCGCATATATGAGTCGGCACCAAAGATATAGTTTATTTTATAATATTTGTAAATTCGACTAAACAAAACAAAACAAAATAAATTTTGATTAAACAAAAATCTCATTCATTTCTGTTTAGCAGCCTGCTGACGAAATATCGGAGTTATGTCCATGAAACAGTTACGAAAGTGACAGTGTACAATACTTCTAGCGCATTTTTACAATTTAAGAATCAGATAACAAGTGTTGTGACAGCAATTGATAATACAAAGTCTGAGAATAACTTAGGTTATTGCGAGAAAATACACAATCGCTTTAATAGAATTCGGATTCGTCATCAAGGCCTTTATCAAGATATTTGTATTAAAATTAACTATCAATTATTGGAGGATAGCGTCACAAAACAGGACATTTGGTGATCAATGGGGATACGCCGTGTAGCATTGAAGGATTGATTCTGAAGAGAGAATGGAGGCTATTACTAAAACGACACTATAGAAGCCATACGTTAAAATTAGTCATTGACAAATTTGAAATTTCGTTTGAACATTGGAAATTTTAGTTATTTTAATTCTAGTTTGTACCATCTTGAATGCATATTGGAAAATTTCTTATTTCATAATCACTAGTTCGTTACAAACATTTTTACATAGAGTACTACCTAAACCAACAACAAACATTCATTAATTTGCTTATTAATGTTTGCATTTAAAAGTAAATTTATTAAGCAACAATTTAAAACAAAAATTCCAACATACTCGTAAATTTGTGTAGATAACACTGAGTAGAGATACAGGCAATTAATGTCACGTATTCAACTCACATACTATTGCAGGTTCGTCTACGACGCCGCATTCGCTCCTCGTGTCGTCATCTATTGGTCTGCGTTTGGTTTTATTCTTCTTCGTTTTAACATTTATGTCGTCCATATTAGATCACAACGCACTCAACTTCTCACGACCACATATCAACATACAGTTCGCATCTTATGCAGTAGTAATATGTATAAATGAGTCGAATTGCGATATACAACTAAGACATTACCTAGAGAATTTGTTGATTAGATAGCGGCTGATATAGTGACGATTTATCAAACACTTTACAGCATAGTAAGAGTACTTCACTTCAGTAGTTCATTTAACTTTGTTTACCTTATTTTTTTATTATAATTTTCCTACATTTAGGCAAATGTCATGCAGCAATAATGAAAAATTATATTAGTCTAATCTCAAAGTCCGTCGAAAACACTTCACGTTAGCAGTATTCTTAAAGTTAATTTAAATTAAAATGCTTAAAAAACAATGATTACAAATTTAGCACATGATTGTACCCTTACAAAATTCCGACTTGCTTGTGGGATCACAGTGTTGACGGGTAGATTAAACGTTTAGCTCGTTTATTAATAGAATATACCCTTTGCCCTAGAAAATAATCCGACCATACATTAAAGTCAGCCGCCTAGATGAGCGTATAACGTACGCGATGAAGCTTGAATTTATAAAAAAAAACATAAAAGAAAACATTGAAATTTTACACTGAGTGATCATAACAAATGAACCGGCCATACTACTATTGTATCAATATACACATAGTTAAGTCATAATATTGATGATAAAGTTACATGATAGATTACCTTAAAGCTTAAAGTCAAAACGCGACTGCAAGCATTATCGGACGCTGGCTATTGATTTAAATCTTTCAGCATAGCTGTTTGTATATCCGTCGCTTATTGGCTTGATGTGTTGACTCTGAACCTTACACTAAATAGTATGATTATTAACCGTAGTCTTTGTAACAAAACATTTCAAAGAGGTTACAATAGTAAACGATTCTGGTTATTAAGCCTAAAAATGTTATCGGCCTATTAAGGTGCAAGTCTAGACGTAATATTTCATATATTCCGCTGGAGTTTTCTGACCTCTGTGAGTAACATACCTTTGGTGTATATGGGGAAGTCACCGTCGGATCGGCTATGGGTGAGCATGGAGCCGTAGTACCGCCACGGCGGGCGATCGCGCGTCAGCCGTGGGCCCTCCACGACGCCGCTCACCTCAACCAACCCAACATCACATATAATCACGGCACACGGCCCTACATTTACGTAGCACGAAGTACGTGACTGGACGACACACCGAGCACGCTTTGACACGCCAATGGCGGCGCCTTCGAGGCGAGAGTACAAACGGAGGCTGCGCGGCGCATCTCACTCGCGCACCCTCGCGCCCTCCCTTGTCATATCCCGACATTCCGATAACCTTCCCTACCTAGAGCTTTAATAATATTATTTTAAACACTGCTTACCGGGACATCTTTTATCGATGCAATATACTTAAGTATGTACATATTCGAAACTATGCCAGCCATTATTAAAGATTGGAATTCGTACGAATTTTTTCCACACAATTTTTAAACACTATTGTATCAAGATGAGTAAAACGAGAGAAAACTGTTAAAGCTTAAGGTTTGCACAATTTGAAACAGATATAAACATATACGCCTATTCGGTACCTATTACGTTATGTCAAAATTTGATAGTGAATTGGACAACTTTAGTGAAAAACCTGAAGGCAAATTTCGCTTATGTGTAAGTATTGAATAAATAATATGTAAAAGATACTTTTATTCTTATAACTTTATGTAAGGAAAACAGCAAAGGATTACCGCGTCTATAGGCAAAGCTAGCCAATGGCACCAAACAACATGATACCTATCCAACACAACAAAAAATAATAGTATAAGTTAAGTTGTGAATGGAGCCCAGATATACATTGCTCGTAGGCATATATTGAAAGTATGAAAAATATGCTATTAAAGTTTTTTAGATATTACATCCAGACACTCCAATTTAATATTTATAAACAAAGCTGACCCTTATATGGTTATGTAAATTAAAAACCTTGGGAATTATGTTAGGCAATACAGATAACAACAAAATGAAAATAGAAAAACAAGACAAGGAAAATTACACCTTAGCCCTAATTATTTATATTATGTAATTAATGTATATTTCTTACCACTCAATCACCTTATTAATAGTTTACAATAGTATCAGTCAAAACTATAACATAATATTATTATCAGCCCAACATCAGTTTACTAGCAAAGTGTTTACTCACACAGATCACCATTTGTAGCCGAAGTTTCAATTGGTAATGATAAATGTCGCCCTCCTTTTCCAACTGCCTGCACACCCTGAATCGGTTTGTCCTCTGTTTGACCTAATGAATATATATAATGCAAGTTTACAAATTTTTTTTTTTTTCAAACACAACAAAAGTAGGCAACTAAATTTAACATAATATGTGATTTATTCCTTTAAGTAAATACATAAATTAAATGACCATTCAAATTTTACATTTCAAAAGATATAATTAATAGTACTCATTTAATTGAAAAATAAAATTATATCACATCTCGTAATGGAAAAATATAAAAGGGTATATTTCTTTCATCTGGATAAAATGAAGTAACTGAATGGTGATCCTGTATGTTTCTACTGGAAATACTACTACTTTGTATTTTATCTTGTGATAAATATTTTTCTTTATACAATGTCTTCCAACTTGTTGCAACAGGTGTATTATCCTTGAAATCTCTTTTATACATTTCTCGCCATAACCCTTCATTGCTTGCTACAGCTTTTAGACGTTTACATGTTTCTGATACGTTTAAAATATCTCTAGCACATAGGTAAGGCAGAATATTAAACAGTATTATCTCATCTGGAAGCCCAACTAAACTAGCACTGGGATATCCGTAGTTACTGAGAATCTTGCTTTTAACTGCTGATAAAACTTTGTTCTTGAAAGTTACTGAGAGATGTTTTAAATCACGAAATATCATAGGTATTGTTGAAGCTCGTGGTGACACAACATAGCGACTGATTGGTAAACAAACTGAATAAGTTTCACCATTCATATCATTGATCATCAAATTTATCAGCATCAGAGCTCCTAGTGGACTTATAATAAGCTTCAATGGCAAGTCAGAACACCCAAACATTACAAACTTAGCCTCATACAACCCAGTCTCCAACTTTTTAGGTATTAATTCCTGAACATCATAAGAATTTACATTTTCTTTAACCTCGGAATCATTAATAACTGGTAGAAATCCATTTTCTAGCATCAAAACAATGATCAAAACATAGAAAAGATCATTTTGTACTGGTTCTGTGCCTTTATTCTGTGAAAGCACTTCCCTGGACAGAGTATCAAGTAATGTGGATATATTTTCTATTGTACTATCTTCTAATTTCAGAGACATTTTAAGAAATAATACAAAGTTGAGTGTACAAATATTTATAGTTAAGAGTCATTGCAATTAGTACTACATAATTTTATATATCAAGTTGTCAGTGTCAAGGATTTTAAGATTGTCATAGCATGAAATGTTCACAGACTATACACCTTTGTTATTGACTATGGTTTTTATCTCCTCTGTAACCCTAATTTTAAATCTTTTTATAACTAAATTATATAATGAAAGATTCAAATGCTATTCATACCAACAAAGCTATCTGAACTGCTCAAACATAATACAAACTAAATTATGACTGCTCACTAGCGCCCCCCTGTCGATATCATTCGTTTGCTATTAACGTATAACCATCAACATCATGTGAATGTACACAATTATCACAAGATCTACTTTGTACTGTAGCTGTTATTTCATTTTTTATGTAATTTTATATGACTAAGAATGTTTAATATACAGCATGTCCCAATATTCAACAACAAAATGGTATTGGTGTATAGCCAGATAGATATCTACATCTACATAGAGAAAAATAATAAAACAAATCCAACTCTATTTGTTTAAAAGTTACCTTAACTTTTGTAACTTTTCTAATAATTTGATACCCTACACCATATGATTAGACACTATCGCTACAAATAAGAAAATATTCCTGCAATTTTTTTTTTATTAGCTACCTTAGTAACATAGCTATAATTTGCAGTTGAAAATAGGACCAAAACATTCATAATTTAAGCACAAAAAATTTGACTGTTTTCTTGAAACTTTTAACTCTTAACCAACTTTGACATGCTATTGTGTAAAAAAAATGTATACCATGTAAACCACCATGTAAATCACAGCTCTTAATTACAAAAGTTAGCGCAACTCATCAAGATTCTAAAATGCTACAATACTATCATTAAACCTGCGAAAATTCTAAGAACTTAATTATCAAAAATTAGAACTGATTATTTTTTGTAGTTATTAAGAATTTTATTAAGTGTTTACAAAAGGGTTTTTTGAACACTTAACTTCTGATCAGACTGTAAATATATTATTTGATGAAGTGTTTGCAATTGAGCATTAATAAGAAATGAAATATTAGATTTTCACATATAGACATCATGAATGAAAAAAAATTAAATATTTTAAAGACAACTTTAGCACATTTAACTATGTAACACTTGACTTTTGTTATACCCTTGAATCTGCTAAGCCAGAAAATATAGTACCACTGATAATGGTTAGTTTCTGGCCATGATGCCGGATTTAATAACATAACTGATACTTACTTACTGATACTTGATATTTGGTAATATTTACATAGATAATTTGATTGTTACATAAATATTGTAAAAGCTAACTCCTTTTACTATTACATACTTGGAATATTGAAGGATTATTTGTTTATTTTTCCAACCGATTTCATAAATATTGATAGTACAGAACATACACAACATTTACTATATTTGGTTAAAATTAATTTAATGTGGTTTCTATATATATAATAATTGTAAATGATTAATATTATGTTGTTTTATTTTATATGGTTCAGTTAACTATTAATTATTATCACAACCACAAATTCACATTATGTATCAACAAAATAGAAAGGTTCCAATTGACATTTGTAAAGTTTTGAACCACTACAATTGTTGTTACCATGACATGGTATGAGTCATGTTTTTAGATAATATGGTTAAGGATATATCGTAGTTCAAATCTAAATGCATATGAAACTGTATAAATAGTATATGAAAAAGAAAGCTATGTACAAATTTGGTATGTTTGTTTTTTTTGTATACGCAATGGGTATTACCTTCCGACAGTAAACTTAAAGATTTTGTTTGTTTCTAAAGTTGTTCCTATTAGAAGAGCATAAAAATGAATACTTATCAATCGACATTACTACTTTAAACATACTATTATATAGAAACAACTTTTTGAATTAGTCCTAGTCGAGTACTTCAACAAATTATGTTTAATTAAAGCAGTTCGTTGGCGTATTACGAAAGAGTTATAAATTAAAAGTTAAATCAAATGTCACTATCAACTAGGTTAGACTGTGTACCATATTTTACTCAAACAAACTTTTGTGTAACTTACCTATATTTCCGCTACTGTCTAATTTCTTATTGCTCTTCAAGGAACCATCAGAATTCTGATTACCCGAACTTTTATCGTTGTCACTAGCCATTGAAAGGTTTCTTGCAACTCTCAAAAACTATTTCATTGTTATTGAGGTACTATTGGTAAAGTTATTAAGCTAATTTTCAAATCTATCTTATAAACATATAAAAGTAAGAAAAGCACTTTGATAACTTTTTTATAACTACGATTAATAATACATGTTTACACCTTCGACAACCGACTGTTCGTTCAAAACCAGTATTTTCTGAAAACTCTGTTTATCATCTGTATCTGAGGGTACAGATAACTAACTAACTAATAATGAACGTTAGCAAAAAACGGTTATTTTAAAGGAAATTATGCACATTAATCTCCGCTTGTTTCAATTTATAATAGTAGGTTAAAAAACCTTGTTACCTATTCATTATTATATTTTGACATGATTTTTAGTAGTTATAGTAATACCCTACTTATATTTTTTAAATATTATTTGTTATAATTATAAGCATATTTCATACGTTCTAGTTTTCCTTAGTTTTTTTTAGTTATTCTAAGGCTATATACCAATTTTTATGTTATCAAGTTATAACTTAAGTCTTGTACATATACGGCGACGGGAATCGTGCGGTTTTAGAACAGCTGAAAAAACGCGCGGTTATGATGTACATATTGTATAGTTGTCAGATATGACCAATTACTTATTGACCAACAATGTGGGACCTTTAGGATCAATAATTTATTATTTTTTTAAAACAGCCAATTTGCCATGTGTTCTTTATTTGCAATTAGCAATATAATGTAAAAAATAGACCGCTATCGGGCACCTATTACAAAATAGCATTGACATATTTAATACCGTATTTTACTTTTTGTAAGATCGAAGTTTTGTAAGAAGAAGAAGTTGTGCCAACCGCTTACCCGTCGATGACAGAACGCCATCACGATTTTGAGATTTTAAACCGCACGATTCAGAAAAGCGCGGTTCATTCATTTGTACAGGGCCTTAGGCTACAATTAGCTACAAAGCTACAGCTACAATTTGATTTGGTAGTGCTACACTTGTAACTTTTCTAATCTATGAGCAATTTTTGCTGTGCATTTGTCTTGTTTGTTCCTTATAATTTTTCGTCATAACTTTGATCAAAACATAAGATAAAAAGTTTTACTGTGGTGATAATTAATTGAAAAATTATATCGTGTAATTAATTTATAATAAAATATCCCACGTTACGTGACTGTGCTAACTACAGTTGTATTGCTGATGTGATATTACTGAAATGTCATCGTATATGGCAGGTGTTTTCGATTTAGATTTGGATGTTGATACAGTTACAGTTGGAGATTCTGACGAAGACGATATTATTGAAGTTGATGAGGTATTTATGTCATGTTCATTTCTATAGATAATTGTTGACACCATACCATAACCTAACATTTATCGTGTCGTATACTTCGACTCCAATGTTCAAGGGCTCAGCCTTTATTTATATTTGACGACGACTATAAAAAACTCAATAGTTATGATAATTTTTCTAGTAAACTATTTAGTTTATAATCTTGAATCTCAGATCACTTATTCATACAGGTAATCTTATGTCACATCATATATAAAATTTTATTAAAATTGTTTTGTGCAGGTTGATTATGATCCCGAACTTAATGTGCATAACATAGCTGAGTGAGTATTCTATTCTATTTTAGAATATATTGAATGTTATCAATACCATGTATATTTTTATGATTATTTTTATAGATCGGAGTGTTCAGAAACTATACAGTTATCAGAAGACAATGTAAATCCGGGACAGTGCAAGCGTCTAGGACCGCAAGATTTTGAATTAAGAAAAGTGTTAGGAAAAGGTGGCTATGGCAAAGTATTTCAAGTACGAAAAATCACAGGGCCTGATGCAGGTGCTCATTTTGCAATGAAGGTTCTTAAGAAAGCTTCTATAGTTCGTAATCAGAAAGATACTGCCCACACTAAAGCAGAAAGAAATATTTTGGAAGCTGTCAAGGTAAGCATACTATGCAATTGAAACAAATAACTTTTATATATTGCAATTATGCTGTATTTGATGGTAAATTATTTTTAAAACGTCATGTTTTATTTCTTTGTATTAAGTTGATCAAATTGTATTTACATTTTCAGCATCCATTCATAGTTGAATTAGTATATGCTTTCCAAACTGGTGGAAAACTGTATTTAATTTTAGAGTATTTAAGTGGTGGAGAACTTTTTATGCATCTAGAGAGAGAAGGTATTTTTCTTGAAGACACTGCTTGGTAAGTACACCCTCGGTAAGATACCTAAAGTATTATGTAGTTTACTACTTTACCAATTATTTGAAATTCATCTAGTAGTTTGGGAATAAATTATTGATACATTTAAATAGATATAATAATTAATGTAATATGCTAATAATTCAGATGGTTAGGTTAGAGTTTCTAGGTCTTCAATTGCAATGTAAAAGTTCATCTAATCTAAAAATATACATTAGTTACATAAGTTGATGTTTCTACATCCATCTCTTGTTTTAACATATATATTTTACAGAAAACGTGCAACTAATTTAAATTCTAAGAATCACTTTTCTTAATTTTTACAGCTTTTATTTATCAGAAATCATATTAGCACTGGAACATTTACATAGTTTGGGCATCATTTATCGTGATCTCAAACCAGAGAATGTTCTCCTAGATGCTCAGGGTCATGTAAAACTAACTGATTTTGGGTTATGTAAAGAACATATACAAGAAGGTATTGTTACACATACATTTTGTGGTACAATTGAATATATGTAAGTATTTTTTTTTATGATTGTTATATGTGATGTGAGACATATGAATTTATTACAATAATTAATTTTACCCTTAAGGGCGCCAGAAATTTTAACAAGAAGTGGCCATGGAAAAGCTGTAGATTGGTGGAGTTTAGGTGCTTTAATGTATGATATGCTGATTGGCCAGGTATGTCAGTAAAATATATATTTGGAAACAAATTTTATAGGCATTTTTAGAAATACATATTTGATATTACTTTTAAAACTATTGTTTACTCTGTTTATAATTCTCATTCTATTTCAGCCTCCATTCACTGGTGATAATCGCACTAAAACAATAGAAAAAATATTAAAAGGAAAACTCATGTTACCTGCTTACCTTACACAAGACGCACGCGATTTGATAAGACGCCTTATGAAGCGGTCGGAAACCCAACGCCTGGGCGCCGCCGGCGCTTCTGCGGTGCGCGGACACGCATTCTTCAAACATGTGCACTGGGATGATGTTTTTAACAGAAGACTGGAACCACCAATGAAACCAATTCTAGTAAGTTTTTATTTTAATAAAAGTGCTGTATCATCATTAAAACTTTGCCAAAGATTAACATATTATATAATTCCTACATCACAAATTGAATCGTCTCTATAGAAATTTTAGACTCAATGATAATATTGTAGGAAGCCGACCAAAGTCAGCTGCTAGTGGATGCCATTACTTGAGATGATGACAATTCATTAGGAAAGTACTGTTAATACCCAATTTCTGATGAGTGCTGATGACTAAAAACATTAATTGCTTCAATTTTGTTCTTAATAGGTCAAGGGTACATTTCATAACTACTAAAGATAATGACATGTTTTAATTTTTAAGCTATAATAGATCTTATCAAGCAGGAATAAATTTTGAAAGCAACTTGATTTCTTCAAGTTTTAAAATATTTTTAATATATTTAGCAATAGGAAGAAAATAATAAGTGATCAGTGGCTTGGTATAAAACATACCAGGAAAACAAAGACTAATTGTTAATTAACTGCGCAATACTGTCTCAATACATTATCATTATATAAGAACAGTTATATTGTTATATAAATTCTAAAAGCAGTAAAACTAATAGTCATATTTTATGTAGTAAAATTGGGGTCAAGATGACAATTGTTAAAACTTGGCCTACTAATATCTAAAAAAATCAGGATTTTTGCACTAAACCTGCAATACAACTGTGCAAAACTTGTAGTAGCAATACTAAAAACACCTAGTAGTAATACTAAATTGGATATATTAAGTGAAGTAATTTCTCTACTACAATGAATTCCTTGAAATATAAATAAAGATACTGTTCATTTCCAAATTATTGATTACCAATATTTATCTTTTGTTTACAGTCAAGTGAAGATGATGTTTCACAATTTGATACAAGATTTACTTTACAAACTCCCATCGATTCCCCGGATGAGTCTACACTTAGTGAAAGTGCTAACCTAATGTTCCAGGTATTATTTCAATTTGCTATCTTTAGTTTAATTATGCATTGTAGATGTGTAATTTGGCATCATAAGTGTTTGGCATGTTTTAGAAATTTTTAAGGTTAAATTTTTGTCGCAATCTTTAAGTTGTTTTTTCGGCTTTATGAATGTTTAGGGTTTCACATACGTCGCCCCGTCCGTGCTGGATGAGGTGCACAAGCCGCGCGTGGTGACGGCGCGCTCGCCACGACGACCACGCTCGCACCACGCGCCCTTCGCCGCTCCCGCCGCCTCGCACGCGCTGCAGGAAGACCTCATGGATGTACAAGGTCTACCTATATAGTGAGTAGCCGCTCGCCCGACGCCATAGCAATAATATCGGAATGTATTTATTATCTGTAAAGACTTCACAAGTCTTATTTCAATTGAAATATATCAAGTGTAACAAGACGATTTAAGCTCCTGTTTTTATTTTCATGTTGTTTATGTCATTTTCGAGGAGCAGATTACGTCAATATTATTATTTTATTTGTGTATAGTTTAAGTTATATTAAGTTGATTAGTTTGTTGTTAATTCCGTTTGTGTTAACCCTGAAATCAACTTTTTTATGTACTGTATGTTCAAAAATAATGCAAAAATCATAAATTTAAAAGCTATAAGAATATTGTTAAATATTTAAAAACTTTTATGAGGATATATAAATAAAGAGAAACTACAACAATGCATTACCTGACATAATACAATATCAATAATACTTATGGTGGACAAAATAATCCTTGCATAAATAACTAGTTGTTAATTCAAACAGTGCTCAAACAGTGCCTTCAAATATATAACTTTATAACTAATAATTTTAAGTATAGGAACAGTAAGAATACACATTTTTACCAAACCATGTACTTATTTTTTTTATGATTATTGTCTGAAGTGTGTCTGTACAAGAAAAAAATAATAATCTTTTGTTACACTTGGTATAATAATATAAATGATTAACAAATTAATATTAGGATTAATTAAGTTTGTTTAGAATCTATAAAGGATTGATGTATAGTCAAAATTGAATAGAAATGAGGAATTACAAAAATGTTGTTTGAATAAATTACCTTTATATGCACAGAAAATATTAAAAATAGACTTGTTTATATCAATTTAAAACTAAAACTTTCCAAAAAAAATCCATTGACAATAAATAAATGACATTGTCAGCCAGTGACATATGTAAGTGTAATTCCTCATTTCCGTTGAATTGGACCATATTGTGTTACTTGAACATTTAATGAGATTATGATAAAGCGGTTGTTGAATGTAATTAACAAAGAATATAAGTACGAATGTTTTATTTTCAGGCCTAGGATAATTCACATAGTTGACCATTTTATACAAATGATGAATACAACAAAAGCTGCCCATCTTGTAATAATGTCCGTAAAATAATGGTACTGTTTTATACTACTATTGTTAATGTACATTTTATACGAGTTACCGTTTAGTTTAATATTTTGGTAGGGTTTTAACACTTATAATAAAACGTTCTAACTCCGATTATATTACAGAGTAAAAATAATTTAAAAATATACCTTGTTACCACGCTTCATGAATTGAATTAAAGGTCATTTTTATTTTGTAATTTGTGTTTGATTTATAAACATTGGCGATGCAACTTCTTAACACAAATACATAGATTCATCAACGTCAAGGTGGGAACATTTGATTGGCATTTGTAGCACTTGTCACTGAACATACAACCTGTTGTATGTCTGTTTACGTTTGCTGATCGAGATTTGTAGCTATTTACAAATTAAATATGTATGGTCTACATTCACAACAATGGCAATGCTTGTCAAAAACTTTTGAAAATGATAAGGCACATAAATATACAATGATATGATGGTGCTAAGTCCATAGCAGATATTCTTATAACTATTCTGATAACATATTTAACAAAATTATTTCCAGATGCATTTTATTCGGAAATATCTTAATGAAAATAATAACAAAATATAAAAAAAACAATACAAAATTACAGTTTTAAGTTATAAATGTGAATTAACTCTAGAAGGCATAGTAGAATGGAGGAAGCAGAGAATCAAAAAGTTATAATCATATGGCCATAACTTTATGAAATGAGTATATCAAAAGTTATTGTTAATATGCATATACATCACAATATTTTTAAACTTTTAGATGAATACATTATAATATCAGCTGTATGTCCGTGCATTGTGCACATATTAAATATATATGTGTGTCATTTAATTCAGGAACTGATGTGAATTCAGCTGTCTCATTACAATTTTTAGAATGTTTATCAATAGAATCAAGAATTACTTTTTTTATTTCTTGTAAAGTACTTTGTGTTTTAATATTAACATGACAATTAGGACAAGATACTATTCCATCTTCATATTTAAAATTCTTCTTTTGGCAAACAGGACATGTGACATCTTCTTGTTCTAAAACTGACCAATCAACATTATCCATTTGTGATTTTTCATATTCCTCCAAGCACCTAAAACACTTTTTTTATTTAGTTAAACAGAAATCTAATATATTATATTTGATACATACATGATAAAAAAAACTGTAAATCTAATCAACCTTTCAAAATTTCAAGACAATAAAACAGAACAAACCATTGTAATTCTTCATCAATAAGTTCATTTTTTATCTCATTTAGCACTTCACTTTCTTCATCTGATTCTTCAAATTTAGAAAATCCAAACATACTTTTATAAATTGTTATCAAAGTGTCCCGAAGTTCAGTTTCATCCGCAGACCCTCGGAATTTGTCCAGAAGCATATTACGGCAATTATGCACCTTTTCTTTGTAATCCTAAAAATTATTTATGTTTGTAACTTTGTCACAATTTTATCATCATAAATGGTTTTGGATGAATAGCTTTATATTTATTAGCCGTATAGGAAATTAAATCTCTGGGATATGTATGTAAGTTGTGTTATTATATTTTACATATTTTTAACTACCCCTAAATTAAGTTACAGTTTTTTTGTCTTTAAGCATTAAGTCCTAAAAATATAGAATGTTTATAATAGTGTACTAATGAATTGGATATAACTACCATTACATTTGAAATTGTACGAGATTAAAATTTCAGTTTATGACAAAATTTACTAGAATATGTAGGTAACATTTCAGAAATATCAGGTATTACTGAAAATGATGTTATAAAATGCCTAACATTTTGCCGTTGAACTTGTTAAATCAAGCAGTTGTATTGCTAAAACAGACAAATGAACATACCTACCTTTTTAAGTTTTTCTTTAATAGCTATTGGGGACTGTTTTTGTTTAGTCCTTAAATTTTTGAAAGACGGGGAATTGGCTTTTGGTGAATTCATGATTAAAGCGATTTTACTATATACGAAAGGGAAAAAGCAGTGTTAAAGGCAAATCCGAAATGATGAAATTTTCACTTTAGTTTAGGCGGGATTTTTAATATTTTTATTTTTTGTACAGTTGACAGTTGAGCGTCTTTGATTGATTGTCATGACAGTGACACTTAAAGAGTATACATGTGACACTGGGCTTATCGCGTTCGCGTTGCAGCTTGAATAAATACCAAATAAATACAGTGAATAACTGTCAAAAGTGAGCAAAAAACAAAAAAAAATATTGATATAAACACTTGTTAAACATTGGTGAAACTTTTGAAATTAGTAAATAAAAATGATTACAATATTAGTTAATCTAAAACTTGAAAATAATGAGAAACTTTATAGGAAAAAGTTGTGAAAACTTGATCAAATACTTGGAACATTAAAGAAATATGTAATCGAAATGGATTAATTTTAATTTCCTTCCTATAAGAAGCCAACCAGGGTTGGCCGTAAAAATTATATGTAAGAGAAATCATTAAGGTTTATAAAACCTTGTTCATGGACCCCGCATGTATTGGGAAAATGCCAGGGAGATGATGAAATATGCAAAATGGATATTGTGTTGAAAAAGTAAGAATAGCTTTAAATTAATTATTACAAAGAAAAATAAAAACCTTTTTTCAGTATTGCTATGTCTAAGAAAAATACTAGTCTTCAGAATCATAAAGTATATAGCAACATTAAGAATAAAATGTCAGATACAGATACAGCAGATGGAAAAAACAATGTGAGTGATAAGTGAAAATATGGCTAAGTCCAAAAGTTGAGTTTTGTGATAATCCTTATTTAAGATATAACCAATTTATTGAAAGAAAAAATACTATATATATCTTTGGAAAATGACACATGTAGAAAAACACCAAACCCGTACGGGGAAGGAAACCATTCACTCAGGGCATTTTATGGTGTCACATTTTGAAGCAGAAGAGCAGGATGATTTTGATGATTTGGCTGTTCCTGTACCCGACGAGGAACAAACAGTTCAGAAAAATACGGTAGTTGCAATGTACACAGTACCTGGATCATCCGAAACATACACATTGTCTGATAAGGAAGAAAGTAAACAACATCAACAACTTTCTATAGAAATATCTCTTACAAAGTTATTCAAATGTATGTCTTTAGCATACAGGTAAGTTGCATTTATTTATATTTACATGTATAAGACTATTGATTTCAGAGACATAGCTTCTTGGTTTTTTCCATTAATGTGCTCTTGTATTGGTTGTTGTAATAAATCAAAGTTTTGCATAAATAGCTTCATAATGAAGTCAGTATATTAGAGGTCAAATAGGTTGTGTATTACAAAAAGCGAAAAAAAAATTAACATTGAAATTTTAAGTAATTATATAAAACAAGTGACATGAACAAATACAGTATATCAACATTTTGCAAATAACAGTTCAAAAGCATTTTGCATATGTAAATGAGGAAACATATGTTTCTAGTTGGATTGGAGTACAAAGATAACATAGGTCATCGGAGCCTGTATAAAAGACACGGGTCATTTGCGCAGATAAGTCTGTCTATGAATGCTTAGTTATAAATATTGTTTGTTAAATATTTTCCATAACACTCAGTTTTGCAGATTTGTTTATTTTATTGATAAAATTATAGTTAGGTTTTATAGATTTTTATCTGTAAGTATCTTATATTTATTTATATTGAGAAATGAATTTTTTTTTATTCTTTCATTCATATAAACATAAATCACTATCATTTTTTATTGGTACTATAGCAGTAAAAATAACCCACCTTAAATATTCTTGACAAGTGGAATATTGTTTATAAATTTAATTAAATGATCTATCTGCTTTCTATTACATAAATTTCTGTCTAATGCAAAGAAAAGTTAAAGGAATAAAATTATAAACTATAAATCACATAGAAAAAAAATTCACATTACTGGGATAAGGCCAGGAAGATAATAATGAACAGATAAAAAATAAATTATTAGTAGTATCTAAGTATTAATATTAATAAATATTTTATTTTAAAATATAATATTTTGTTTCGAAAAAAGTAATATGCTGACATTATGGTTTGTCTAGAGTTATTATTAAAAAGCATCAAATATGTTTCAATAATCAAAAAAAAAATATAAATATTTGTTGAGATATCAAATATTAATTAAATCTTTTAATATCTTTAGTATTTAGAAAAGTATTTGCAAAAAAATACTTCTTTTTTCCACAGTTACAACAACATGTACATATATTGCTTAAACTACTCTAGTAGAAATGAAGATAAGATACAGTCAAGCTCCATTCTTATCAAATTGTTATTTATAATAAGCTTAAGATCATTTATTGATAGTGGTATAGATAAAGTCACTACACAAGATTGTCTGCCATTTTACATTTTAGTCGTACAGTTCTACATTGAAGCTGTACTTTGTATAAAAATAAAAAATTATATTAATTAACAATGTCCTGTTTAATTTTTTATAAATCAAAAATGATTCTTATGAACTCTAGAACTTTTATAGTCAATTTGATTGTGGAAATGCTCGGTTTAAAGATTAATTTGTGATGTTAATTAGACTATTTAGGATAAGCATGGTAAGTTTGTATTATTAATTTTTATTTATTATATACTTCAGACAAAAATTAACCTCACCCAAATGGAATCGTTTCAAAGGTATAAAACTACGTTGGAAGGACAAGATCAGATTGAACAATGTTATATGGAGATGCTGGCACATGCAATGTAAGTTTACATTTCTTATTGTTTTACTTATATACCCCTTTTCTCCTTTATGTCACTTCTTTATAAATGTCTATTTTCTTAAATTAAAAGTGATTTTTTAATGTTAATTTCGGTTATAAAAAAATCAAAGCCCAATTGAATAAAGTATTTTTGCACATATGTTACTTTTTATGTATGTCAGTTTGTGTATAATTTGCAATGTAAGATGTCTCTCTCCCTCTTTGTTTTTTTTTTAAATTGAATGAGAGACACATGGTTATGATTTGATTTGCAACTGATAACAATTTTTATCAGTAATTTCTATGTAAAGTTTAAACTTAGCAAATTGAATGTATACATGTATGACAAAAAAAATACAATAAATGGCAAATATTTTTATTCATTATGTTAATTATGTAGAATTTTTAATTTATATAAATACTAGCTGTACCCCCGACTCCGTCCATGGGGACTTAAAAAACAAACATTAGTAGCCTATGTGTACTTCCAGACTATGTTCTACATTTATGCCAAATTTCAGCTAGGTTCATGCAGCCGTTCTGGAGATGCCTTAACAAACATACATCCATCTAAACATTTGCATTTGTAATATTAGAAAGATGTTATTATGCATATGTTTAAGCAGATTGTTGCATACTTTGATCTAATTTAAATGAGATTTTTATTAACTTTTTTTACACATACTTATCTATATGATTCTAGTACTGATGTCTGTTGATTGATCCCGGTTGCGCGTAGGGTCGTTTACCGATGTTGATAAGACTATTGATTGGTGATAACATAAAGTAATTGTTATATATTGTAAGCCTTATCCCTTCTAATGAAAAATATTTATTAAGTATGGATTATGTAAGATGATTTTCTGATAGTGATCACATTGGATATACTTATAAACTATCTGCTGCCTCCGACTCCGTCCGCGCGTGATCAAAAAAAGACTAATTAGTAGCCTTTGTGTTTTTCGAGACTATTTTCTACCTCTATGCCAAATTACATAAAGATCTGTTGAGCCGTTTATGTTTTCACTTTATGTTTTCTGGGCAACTTTTATACCGTAAAACTTTCTTTGCGAAGTCAATTTCGTCGTCGGTATGGAATAAATAAAATCAATATTTAATTAAACTGACTCGCAATACTAAAATGTACAGATAAAAATGTTACCTAATTAATATACATCTCAAATCTGATCTTGACCCAATTTGACTTTGTGATCTATTTGAACTCCGTCGCAATTCAATAATTTCATGCAAGTTATTTAAATGTAGACAAGATTAAAGAACGATACTTCTATGGTGGAATTGCAGAGTGAAAATTCATTTTTCTATTGAAAAACTTGAAACGGTTGAGTACTTTTTGATTTCGTCTTTGGAAGTAGGACAAACATGTATCGCGGATTGCCATAAATTTTCATTGCGTCAAGTTTTGATTTATAATAATAGGCCTTAGGTATGTAGATTTTATTTCAAATGCTATGAATGTTGTCGAAGTTTATTAACCGTTACGTGTTCAATTTAAAGTTAAGTAATCCGACATTATAAAATTATAACTCAATCAGCGGGCATATCTTTTTGTTTTTACAGATATTGATACCGTTTTTTAATAATTAAATAAAGTTTACCTTGGTTTTTATAAACTTTAGAGATAAGCTTAAAAAATGTACATAACCTAACCTCAAATATGTATTGTTGCAGTTATAAAAAAACAGAATACATTTGTGTGTCAGTTCGCCTCTCCTTTAGATGTTGACACACACGTGAAACCAGAGGTAAAATAACTATACGAGAAATAATTAATTTTCAATACATATTGCATGTATATACATATTATAATATTTATTTCAGACAACTATATTAGAAGGTAAATATTGGAAAAGAAGAGCCGAAGCGGTTATAGCAGAATATAAAAAATGGCGCATGTTTCATATTATGCGACTCCTTGGCAAGGGGGACAGCTCAGTCCAGGATACGGTATGTATTGCTTGCAAATTGGTTGACGTATTTATACCGTCTTTGAGATCTAGAACAAGAAGTGTTATAGTCAATAATGACATGAGTGACAGGTTGTTTGATAGGCAAGGTGTCCGGTAGGTAAGAGGGCGGTTTGTTCGCAGATGTCGGACATGGACACGGTGGAGTCGTTCTCGCAGTGCAGCGACCTGGCGGCCAACATGCTCACGGACGAGGACTACCTCAACTTCATGAGTGACACGCTATTCTCCACCATCACAAACCACCAACCGTTCGCCTTCCCTGACTGCAGGGAGATCGGTACCTTCATCACTATTCAATTATATCTTTTATAAAAATATAAATAATAGATAATGTCGAAGCGATCCGGCGATCTCGATAAGAAATGGAATAATTTATATTACTTTTGTCACAGCCAGAGGAGCTGGTCTAGCCGATTTCATACAACCAAGCTTGGGTCCTTTGCAGCCTAATCTTGATGATTTTATGGACACACTAGAGCCTCTCCAAGGTAAGTATGCTTTATATACACCTGTTATTTGAAAAATATATGTGGTGCCATGGATATTGTTTTACTTATTCTGTTCGATACTTCGAATGTTACAATTTACTTGAATTTGCAGACCTTCTATCGATGCCACGTCTTCCTCCTGTGCCCGAAGAGACGACCATTCCATCGGAGGAGGCGTTGTACAGGAGCGGCATGTCAGTAGATACTTATACTCCCCAAGGTTACATTGCAGGCAGTCAGAATACTTCTGCAGTCACAATGCCCACCAGTCAGATGAGCATTCATGGTATTTGCATATCATCACTCTTCTGCAACTTGGTATGACACGAGGGGGCCCTAAACTAGTTCTTTTTTGAAGGTACGAGTAACAATACTCAGTTGATGTCGATGCCAGAACAAGTCAAAGGCGAGGAGATGCGAATGTATGATAATAGCCGGCTGTTCACGCAGACCGATCTGCCGAACAGCATCATGAGTGGCCCGGAGATGCTCTCCGCCTTCCCCCAGAGCTCGTACGAGCGGACCCCCGCGCCGCCGCCCGACTGCGCCCCTCCGACCCTGCACGCCAACGCCTTCGTGCCCAAGTCCCCTAGGGTGCAATTCGTAGCCGCGCAAAAAATATCGTCTCAGCCTGATGCCTACAACAAGTATAATGCAGGTTAACATTTATTTATTTTAAACTATCTAGGTAATTGGATTTTTTTCTTAATTTAAAGACCACCCCATTTTGTAGGTATACCGCCATCGCAGACGGCGCCGGAGACAGTTTCTCTTCTGCAGCAGCCAGTGCAGAATGCTAAATATGCTTCGACTATCATAATTCAAGGTCGCAGCGGGTACAGTCGCGAGAAGCCGCGAACGCGGATAAATCATTACACGAATCAGATAGGCAACAATCAGTACCCGGCGTACTCGGCGACCATACCGGCCCACAGCGCGGCACAGCCGGCACACGGCGCGGCGCAGGCGGTGCACAACCCGGCGCAGGTGGTGCACGGTGCGGTGCAGGCGGTACACAGCCCGGCGCAAGCGGTGCACAGCGCGGCGCCGGGCTACGAGCCTCGGCCTCCCGCCACGCGCCCTCCCGCGCCGCAGATGCAGTACTTGCAGCCCAACCATGTGGAATCCTACAAGGCGAAGGCCGGGCCATCGCCGACGAACGTTCGCTCCTTCAAGCTACCCTCACCCCCCTTAGCGCCTGCGCCTGCGCATTCGCAACAGGTACGATGAAAGTTGTTTATCTATCGAATTTACTATTGCATACTGTAACCTATCAAATGCTTTTAAAGGTTAATCAAAATTTAATCATAAAAATTACACAAAGCATAAGAATTTGAAATATAATGCAGGTAGTGGCTAGCGGCTCTAGCTCCTCTGTACCGCGCAACAAGGAGCAATTTCGGTCGCATAGTTTACCGCTGGGCGCGCAGCTGAGCTCAGAGTGGGTGGTGAGCGCGGGCGTAGCCGCCGCTCCGGCCGCTGCGCCCGCTCAGGTGCTCGTCGCGCCGCAGGATGCCTCGCCCGTCAGGCATACGCCTAGGGTTAGTTTTTCGTCTCAAGTACAATTATATCGTATTGTATGCAATATAAAGAAACGGTTTAATACTTGTGGAGGTGAAACTAATGGTAAGGGTGTATGTACAGGCGCGCGAGACTACTGGCGCGCTGCGGCTGCGGTCGCGGTCCACGTCTGGCGGGGTGAGCGAGCCGCGCCGCGTGCCGCCGCCGCTCAGCAGCGTCGCCTCCGAGCCCGCGCTGCCGCAGGCCAGCGTCATGCTGGCACACCTGCTCTCCGCGCACCACTGTTAGTACACACACATACACCCACACCTTTCTTCTATACACAAACAAGACATACACCAAATTATACTATACTTTCATTCCTTACGAACATATCAAAGTGGAACAATAAGTAACAAAAACAGTAACACACATTTTTTCTACTTCAATTTCACTTTCTTCCAACTATAATACAATAATTCAAACTGCATGCAATTGTAATTTTGAAGATAAAACTAATAAAGCAAGGCAATATTTTGACTGGAAATCGAGATACAAAACTGCACGTTGTTTTGCATGTGTTTACGCTTGTCGCTATGTGAGATAACGAAGCGTCGCGCTTGCAAAACAATTATACAAGTATAAATAAATAAATACCAAAGTCTATGTTTATTTGAACTTAACACTTTAGTCTTGAATATTCTATATATATTCTTTTTAAAAAAAACCTATCTACTGAATTCAACATCGTGCTCTTCTTATCTAAAATAGTCATATTTTTGCAGCTCAAAACCTATACACAATAAAGGGTAAAGACGAGGGCGCGGGGGGAAGTGAGCCCACCAAATCTCCGATTAGAAGGGCTCAGCCGTCGCCTATTGAAAACGATGTTATGTCGCCGCATCAGGTAACGTTCAATGTCTTCATTTTATATTATTTATCATAAAACTAGCTGTCGCCCGCGAATCCGTCTGCGCGGAATTCAAAACAAACTTAATAAGTAGCCTACGTGTATATCCAGACTATGTTCTACATCTATGCCACATATCAGCGAGAATCATGCAGCCATTGATACCTTCAAACAAACATCCATGCATCCATTCATCTAATCATGCACATTTATAAAATTAGTAAAAATAGTGAGAATAAGTAAAATACTCTTGCGATGATTAATAATCCAGTAGGAAATTTTAAAATGGTACATTTTGTAAAAGTCAATAGACGAGATTTGTATGCAAAGATTATATGTTTAAGTTAAGTTTTAGGGATAGTGTGCTAAATGATACATATACAAATATAAAATGTTTTATGTTTGTATATTCAATTATAAGTAAATATCTTTGCATATGTATATTTATACCAAAAATAATAACAATCGCCACAAGATACTATTTACATTGTTATTTCAGACAAGACACGCGTGTGGTGCGTGTTCCCTAACATAAAAATGATAGTCTTATCGGGACATTATAAAAGCGATATACAAGTCGCGCTATAGGTAACGTGCGGAATGCTACGCCTTAAAACCATATTTATTTTGTAAGAATACAAAGAATAATTAACGTATTAATCAGGAATTAAGTTAGTTTACTAGTTTGGGGTCAATGCCCTACCGAAATGAATATTAATACGATTTTTTAATTAATTTCTAAGTTTAACTGATATAAATTTAACCACTATGGTTTAGCGAATCTTTGATAGACCATAAATATAGTCGAATCTGTATTAGCGAGATTATATCTTATTATTTTACTAATATTATAAATGCGAATGTTTGGATGGATGTTTGTTAGTTTGAAGGTATCTCAAAAAAAGGCGGAACAGATCTCGATTAAATTTGGCGTACGCATAAAACACAGTCTGGAAGAACACATAGGCTACTAATCACGTCTTTCTTAGTATCGGACGTACGGAGTCGCGGGCGACCGTTTGTTTTAATATAAGAAACCTCTAAGCGATAAAAATATACCGTTCCCTTGATATCATTTATCCAGACTCGACTATAGTTAGTGCAACTTTATTGCAGTATTTTGACCAATTGAGATTCCAACTTAACATATGACCTGTATTATAATGCACAAGTACAATTGTCACGGAAATGAAATCTCTCAGTAAGTTTCCACTGGCACGAGTGTTTCGGCAGTGGAAACTGATTGTAAGTGTTGTGTCAGTCGCTGTCACCGCCGGGGTCGCCGACGTCGCCGCGGGCGGGGTCGCCGCGGGATTCGCGGGAGGCGCGTCGCTCTCACCTGCACACGGAGCAGAAGCGCCGATACAACATCAAGAATGGCTTCGACACGCTGCAGACACTTATACCGCACCTTAACACAAACCCCGCCGCAAAGGTACAGTTGGGGACATTTATTTCCTACCCACCCAATCTTCGGTGGTTGTCCGCAATGCAACCAGGACGAAAACTTGTCATAGCAATCATACGGGTTAGTTATAGCTATTATGGTGAAAGTTTGTTGCACGATAATTCCATTGTAAGTGTCCGCTGCTAAGGTATATTTGGAGACGTTTATTTCCTACCCACCGTCTTCTCGGCGGTTGTGCGCAATACAATCAGGATAAATAATACTTGTAGTACATGTACGTGCTTAATTAAAGATCTTATGGTGACAGTTTATTGCATGATTTGCGATTGTTAGTGGGAAGCAAATTTAATTCTTTGTACACACCATAGCTTGTGAAATGCCAACGATGAATTAACCACGACTCGACTTCACGGCATATAAACGTGAAGGAAATAAATACTTTGCTATTTTGTCTTATATTAAAAAATTTTGCTCTCTTTATTCACAGTTTTACAATATTGCAAATAAATAGTAATTTAAAAAATTCAAACTAATTGCTAAAATTATGTTCCCATTACATAGTGACTATGTATTTTGGTTTAGATAAGTAAAGCTGCAATGCTACAGAAAGGAGCAGAATATATAAAACAGTTGAAAGCTGAAAGAAATCAAATCAAAGAGGAAATGGAAAGTTTGCGGGCGCAAATTGATTGCTTGAATAACTCCATTTCGTAAGTAAACACATTTTATTATTTGTTTTATAAAAAAAAGATGAGATTATTATGGAACTAGTAAGCAGTAATCGTGAATTTATACGGTATAGTACGTTTCAAATAAGAATGTGGAAGAACGCGGGCCATAAGTTTACTTCAAATCTCAAATCAATAAGGATATGTTGTCAGTAAAATGGATATTTTAAAAATGACACTTATTCTAAATTTAAATGTTTGAGTTCAAAATAAATCGCGATTTTTTTTAAATCATTACATTTCTTTTTAGATCTTTATTTAGATTTTTTTGGTTTGACACGATTTGACATTGGCACATTTTTATTTCAAACATATTAATAATCTGTTTCGTTGGATTATAGACCTTTTAGTGATTTTGGATAATCTTCGGGCAGTTTGGTTTATTTTTTTTTATGTCAAATGTGTATTGTGATATGACAGGAACTGCCACTCGATGCTGCCGGCGACAGGTGCGCCGGTGTCGCGTGCGCGCGCCGGCAGACTGCGCGAGATGTTCGCGCGACACGTCGCCAACCGCACCATGCACAACTGGAAGTATTGGCTCGTATCCTTTACATACAAACAAACAAATGCAGCATACCAAATACTATACAATATTGTGATCCCACGTTGAATGAGATTAGTGCACGCTGGGACTATTGAGGTGCAAACGTAATGTTGCTAAGCTAACTTGTTTCACGTAATCGGTGCAAATTTAATCTAATTGTCTATTTTTATCGAATCTCAAATCGCCTCTGTTACTGTCTCATTGTCAAGAAACACCTCTGGTAGACATTTTTCCCGTTCCGTTCCGGCTTTTATCGTGTCTTGTTATCGGAAACACAGCTTGTGATTATTTAATAACGTGATCTCCTCTCCCCCCTCCTGGTGCCCCCCTCTCCCTCTATCAATGTGCGTTATCATAGTTACGCACAGAGATACACAGACATACGTGTGGCCTAGAAATAAACAGATATGGCTACGATTATTTATCTATGGATCATTTGGAAATTTTTATCTTTATGTCGACTCTAAACTTAGCTTAAGTATTAATGGAAATAAATCACTGATAGGAGCTATTTTTTGTATTTAAATGGGGGTGTGTGCTCACCCGTGTAAATTTATGTTTTGCATTAAATACAAAACTTATAACATTTTACGAATAAAAATATTTTATAATCACGTGATTGTCAACTTCCAATCAGAATGCGTACGCGTCGTTCGTCTTTAATCGCCTTTCCATTGGCTACAGAGTGAGCGAGATAGCTCTGCGCGAATGGGACAACCTGTATAGAACCGCGTGGGAAGTCAAAGTTCTTAAGGGTCTATTTTCATATCGAAATTCGCAATATTTTATTTTTAATTCTAAAATTCGGTATACGCACCTATTAACATTTTCCGACGCCATATAAAAGTTGAGAGTTCAGGACTCATCGTCTATATTCTTACCTTGCATAGTCATATTACCATAGGTTTCCAATGCATGCTTTTTGCTTTAAGGAATAAAGCAAGTTTTTCAGGTGTCACGCCAGTATAAACCCACGGTTAGTGTGATAACACTCACTACTCGTTGAACAACTTTCGACTGGCAATTATGAAGAAAAGAAAAAAAAAATATAAAATTTTAGACATAAGGTTGAAATTTGAGTAATTTTTGTTTATGAAAAAAATGTAATATGATTTAATCTATAGATAATACGGACAAATGATGCTTCATCGATGTTATCTCGTTCAATTGTCTGTACAGATAATATAAAGGTCTGGTTTATCATGATAAACACTGAAACATGTGAATGGTACAATTAAATTAAAGTTTTTTAAGCTTTTGTAAAGCATCGATATCATTAAAAAAACAAAACAGTATCAAATTATTTTGGACGAAATTAGTTTAAAACGTTCATGATTCTATCATTGTTGATTAATTTACATATTGCTATTTATTTTATACGAATAGATCTAGATAAAATTAAAACAAAACAAAATTAAAATTAAATCTCACATAACCTTACCTTTCCCCCAGAAGGTAAGGCATCTTTTGAAGCTCCCCCCCTTTTCCCCCTGAAAGGAACTGGGTAACATATTTGTGTGTGGTATATTCCTTAAGAGTGGTTCAGTTCAGCGTGGTGAGCGCGGCGCTGGTGGAGTCGTTCAGTGCGTGCGTGTCGTGCGGCAGCGGCGCAGACCTCGTGCGCACCACGCTGCTCTGGGCAGAGCAGCACTGCTCCCTTGTTGAGATGCGCCCAGGTAATACACCTTGTTTAACTATACTGATGTCCGATTTAAATCTGTGCTACTCGAGACTATGTTCTGTATCTGTGCAAAATGTCAATAAGGTGGTGTTAAACCGTTGTAGAATTATTGAACAAATATGTAAATCAAACCTATCCCACGGGAACTATACGCATATCCGGGATCATAAGTTGTCTATGTATTCTTCCAGTCTTTGTTCTACATCTATACTAAACTTCATCGAGATTCATGCAGCCGTTCTAGAACGTATCTAGATATATCTTCAAACAAACATCTATCCATACCTCCAAACATTTTCATTCATACTATAAGTAAGGTCTCTAATGATTTTAGTATATTTACTACCTCGTTCAATTATGATAAAATCGTTGTGACATCTTTTCCGTGATAGTAATGCTAAAGTTATAAATTTTAATTGTCCTTGTATTTATTTATTCAGCGGTGCTGAACTCGTTGCGCGTGCTGTGCACGACGACGGACATCCTGACGAGTCCCGAGCGGTTGCCGGAGGAGGCGCGCGCAGCTGCAGCAGCCGGCGCCGGCGTCAAACGCGAGCCCACATAACGCACGCCCACGCCCACATCGCGCCCACATCGCGCCCACATCGCGCCCACACTGCGCCACGCCCACATCGCGCCCACACTGCGCCACGCCCACATCACACTCCATACATTATGTATACACAGACGCAGGGTATTTAGTAAATAGTATGATTGCAAATTATTATACTACAATAATTATTCAACTCAATCACATTGACGATGCAAATTAATTTAATACTTATCTTTTTGACATTCTACATTTGCTATAGCACAGAGTAGAGAAATATAGCCGTATCGTTTGTACATTTTTCATTAAATGTCTTAAGTCATCAAGTTAGTTCAGATGTAACAAATACGTAAAAAACTTGTAAATTGTGTATAGAAAAAATATATCATAAACTTGTTATAGCTCAAATCTTTGAGCAACATTATATCCCGCCGACTTTATGTTGTACTTAAAATGATAAATGTCTCTTACAATTTTAATGCAACTCATTTTATTCAATAGCAAATTTAAGTTTTTAATTGATGCTGTAATTCTCTACGCTGTTCAGAATTGCCTAAAACTATTGAAGGTACAACCAAGACAAATCACAACTCTTCATCTTTTAACGCTATTTTATTGAAACTAAAAACATTTTTAATGTAAATAGTAATTAAAAAATATATTCTGCTGGTTTTGAGAAAAACGTAGTATATTTAAACAAAAAATATAGTTAAATATTGTACAGCCAAAAAGTAAAATTTGTTCTTTGTGAATGGAATTCCTCAATTTGTTAAATCATAAAATGATCTTACTTAAAATCCGTCCAAAGCTCACATGAGACATATCCATGAAAGCATATTCATATTTTAAAAAAAACACGCATCGCCTGTGTCATATTTACGTTGAAGTTTGTCATAACTATGGGTGCGACGATTTGGATAAAAAGAAAAAAATATTACTAAAGAAATTATATATCATTGGTGTCCAAGACTAAAATCCTTGTTTAAAAATATATTGTCATCTCTCTCATTATCTTTGAACCAACAGAGATAACAATATTTTGATACAGGGATTTTGGTCTCAGAAACCAACAAATAGTCGCGTAGGCTTGACTTGTGTTGTTATATTTTTGTTCCGATTCTTGTAAAAACACAAACGCACAAGTTTATTAATAAGACGGGTTGAAGGACATTTAAATTGAGCTGTGAAAGTACATAATACTGTGATTTTATATTGTTCACTTAGTCTGTTGTATAAATAAAATATCACTTTGAAAGTTGTGTAATGATGAAGCGAGGGCTTTCGCTAACCGTATCGTGCCTTAGATTTAACTCATCTTAGACTCCAATCGGCTGCTATTTAACTGAAGAACTTTACTGCTGTGATACTTATATTATTCTCTTTGACAAAAGAAATTCTGCAATATATAACATATATAAATGTTACAGCAATCAATTTCTACAGTTATTAATTTACATATGTACATACATTACTGTAAATATAATATAATAGTGAAATGTTATGTCTCGAGTGCCTGTGCCTAGGTAACGACGAGGGCATGTCATTTATACTCCGACATGTAGCGATCTGTCTGCCAAAGAATCCGTATCCGCGGCGCGCCCCGCCCCTGCCCGTGTAGGCCACGCCCCCGCCCGTGCAGGCCACGCCCCCACACGATACCAACATAGTCGTTAAGTGGAAAGTATGAGTTTATTGATGTCGAGATTTAATTTAGTATAAATAAATAAGTGTATTTACGAATGCGACTACTGTAAGTAAATATTTTTATATGGTTTGTGTTGTGACACACAAATGTTTTTATATAACTATGTAAATCGGTGCCAACGTAAATATTGTTGTAATTTGTTATGTAGTGATATAATTTTATGATGTATCGTTGACTCTGGTTGCGACCGAAGGAGACGGCGAGCTTTAAATTAGTTATTTGCAATTGTTGTTCTATTGGAAATACAATTTTAAAACACAAACACAATCTTGTTTTAATCATTTTATTAAAAACATTTAAATTATTAATACTTCATTACGGTACATTGTAGATGTCGGTAGCAGTTATAAGAAATAACAATTTGTGATTTCAAGTTACTCTTACTTAAGTAATTTGTAGTTATGGCTCAAATATTTCAGTCTTTATATAAAAGGTAAGTTAATATCTTAGCGCTCGATGCATTTCCAATGGCGTCGTTATAGTTTAATATCGTTCATATGTAAATCTTAAACAGCAGACGTCGATTACTCCTTTATAATCTAATTTCAAAAGAATCAAACATAAATAGCTTATATATATAACAGATTTTGGTCTGTTAACGTCAATATGTACATATTGCACAAATATGTTTAGCACACGACGCGCTATTATGCGAGAGGAGAGACTAATGTGTTTGGTTGGTGGCGGCGAACATGCGCGCGAGCCGCGAGGAGGGCTGCGACAGCAAGCTCCTCATGCTGCCCACCTCCACGATGCGCCCCTCCTCCATCACCACGGCGCGGTCGTAGCCCCGGACCGATGACATACGGTGCTGGAACCAAAAAGTACCTAACAATACTTGTGACACTATATAAGATTTACATTGCCTTATAATTTTTCAGTATTGCAGTCAAATGTTAATTTAATAATACTAATTACTGCGACTGTGATGAGCGTTGTGTTGGGCGCGGCGGCAGCGAGTGCGGCGAGGAGGTCGCGTTCGGCAGTTGCGTCGAGTGCAGCGCCCGGCTCGTCCAGCAACAGCGCAGCTGCGAAGCGCGCGTGCAGCGCCGCCCGCGCCGCACACGCCCGCGCGCCTCGCCCGCCGGCCCATCGTGCACCGCGAGCCCCGCCCACAGGACACTCTGATCAATTAAAATCAATTAATTTCCACCATTATATAGTTATCATACAATTTATTTAGAATTACATTTAAGAAAAACGCTACCGTTTGTTTGCCTTATTAGAATAGGGTAAGGGGGTTGTAAATGATTGAATTTTACAAGAAACGTTACCTAAGCCGGCCGACTGCGCCGTGACGAACTCGTAGAGTCCTACCGCCTTGAGGCACTGCCATATCTCGTCGTCGGTGTGCACGGCGAGCGGGTCGAGGTTCTCGCGCAGCGTGCCAGAGAAGAGCGCGCCCTCCTGCGGCAACACGAGAACGCGGTGACGCAACGCGCGCAGCGGCACTGCGACCGCCTCCGCACCGTCCACCAGCACGCGCCCGCCTAGCACCGGCGTCGCGCCTGCGCACGTCAGCACCAGCGTCGACTTGCCACTGCCGCTTCGTCCGCATATCGCCAGCTACACCAAAATTAACGTTCTTTATATGAATAACAAAATGTTGTTGGTATTGGCATAAGAAGCGTGAAAAAAATTAATCAAAAGGATCATTTACCTTTTCACCAGGATTAACAGTCAAGTTTATATTTTTAAGTATAGGTGGTGCATCTGGATGGTGCTGGACGGTAACGTTTTCGAATTCTATTTTTCCATCTCTATGCCACCCTGATGGGATTGGACCTGAAATATTTTTTATTATGAAACAACAGATTTATTTTACGAGTTTTACAAAAATATACCATTGGTTTTTAAATTTAAGATGTAGGTACATGATAATTCAGGGCACTTACAATCTTCCCGATAGTCCTCCTGCGGCATCCTGGTGTCGTTGAGGATGCGCTCGAGCGCGGCGAGCTGCAGATGCAGATCTGCGCGGCACTTGGCCACGTGCGCCAGGTACGCGGGCAGCAGCAGCGCGTACGCGCCCGCCAGGCCCGCGCGCGCCGCCCCGCCCCCGCCCCCGCCCGCCAGCGCCGCTCCCAGCGACACGCACACGCTCGCCGCGCCCACCAGGTCCTTGTTTTATTTATTACATTTAATCTATCTCGATGATTAGATGTAAAAATAGTCTATCACTTTTAAGTTACATGTATAAAATAGTCCGCCGTACGTGTATGGGTAAAAATTAACGTGCAGTTTGGAACGCTGCGACATAGATTAAGACGTGTTAAATGTATACTAACGAGTGAGAGGCCCAGCCACCTGTTGGCGGCGTTGAGCAGCAGCAGCGCGGCGTGGTTTGTGTCGAGGCGCGCCCGCAGCGCCGCACGCATGGCGGACTGCAGCCGGCCCGCCCGCACCGTGCCCGCGCCCGCGCTCACCTGCGCGCTCAGCGACACCACGCGCGCAGCACTCCGCGCCTCGCTACGCTGCAGCTCTCTGACACAAAACAAACTGTATTTTTCACATGTCTGATGATTTATGATTTTGATGAATACGTGTAAACATTAAGGTTTAAATTAAAAACGTTAAGTACGGTATTAATTTTACCTCGTATTACGTAGGTAGACGTTTTGTAGCAGCAGAAAGCAGAGGAAGGCGGGAAGACAGGCGAGCAGCGTCCACGAGGAGGCGGCCACGTTTAGCAACGCGGCCGCCGCGCACGCCAGCGCCAGCTGCGCCCAGCGCGTCACCGCCGTCGATAGCTTCTGCACACAGACATATGGAACTGTTATATAACTTAGCGTATTTATAATTACTTTTTATCAAACTGTTCTACCCTCTCCGACATAAAAAGCTCAGTAGTTTACTCACCCGATCAACAACAGCGATGTCTGCAGAGAAGCGGTGCAGCGCGGCGAGGTGCGCGTGGTGCGGCGGCGCGTGCAGCACGGCACGCAGCAATCTCTCGTGCAGCGCGCGCCGCGCCGCCGCGCCCCCGCACGCCGCGCCCAGCTGTGCCGCTCCCGCCGCGCCCGCCCCGCACACGCACCAGCACACATACACGTACACGGACCTCCATAGCTAAAGGCAACGATGTATTTAAGAAAGATATAAAGCTTACAATGTAGAAATATACATTACTAGGTCTTATACCCATTTCTCATATTAAAAAGTTATGTCACCTCATCGTTTTCAAGTGGTTCTTGTGAGTTTTGTGCGGCCCTAGTGGAGAGCCAGTAGTCCGCGGCGAGCGCCAGCGCCTGCGCGCCAGCCGCGGCCGCCCAGTACACGCCGCCCCACCACCCGCACGCGCGCGCGTACGCACACCAGATAGAGCTCTGGCTCATACAAACAAAACATCTTACTGCTTTACGTTTCTTTTAATCCTACGTACTTACATTTTCACAAATTGTCCAAAATCTGCAATAATATATTTGTATATACCTCACTTATGACTTGTTCCGGATCTTCTTTATCGGGAACTAATTTCTCTGAATTATTTGTACTTGTTTCGATACCATTGGATGTAATTGAAACAAATGTCGTGTCTTTTGTTGTGGATTGTTCTTTATCTGAAATTAAATATATATTATTACTTGCTTTTGTCTGTGACTCCGTTCGCGGGGAATTAAGATTAAAAAAATCATTTTATAATGTAAGTATGGTTTTATAAAACTGACCGTCTGATTGTTCGTCTGGTTGCGTGTCACTGTCGGTGCTCAGTAACCTGTGCAACGTTCGCGGAGTCCATCTGAAGAATACAGAAAATTAATGTTGTAAATACATGTCCCAAGATACATTTATAATAGTTATTGAATTGATGAAAAGGATGGAGAGTCCGTTAGAATATTGGTTTCCTATTAGCCAATTAAAAAAAACTTAGTTTGCTTGCGATTTTTTTTGTTTCTAGGTATTTAATATACATTTGTTTGCTTAAATAACATCGTTAGTGCCAATCCTCAATTTCATAATCAAACAAATTGCCTTATTGCCAAATGGCTTAGGTAACGTTTCTTGTTAAAGTCTTATTAGGATCCTAACGCAAAAAAAAAATTAGTCGAATCCGTTGGACATCGAAAAAGGTAATGTGTACCTTCCAATTAGATTTTATATACTCACTACCTATAAGGATGTGTAAAATATTTAAGGTGTGCGACTCAATTTTATAGCCAGGAAGTGACATGAATTCTCCATTTGAATGCTAAATGACGCAATTCGATTGTCTTTTGATTGTTTAAAAAATAACACACAGTCAACTTTACGACAATCATATTTGTAGGTAACATCAAATTCCATTGTCATTTTTTTTACAAACATATTTAAGTGTGCGTGGTTATAAATTGATTAATTATTCCATCACCTAAACTGATGTTTTTGGGAGTGTTTGAAACGACCTTTGCGATCTTCTATAGTTCTATGACTCTCATTATTAACAAACGAAATTTTGTTTCTTTTATTTATCAAGACATCAGTAAGGACTGCTTCCTACTTTTTATGATTAGCGACACACTGGTATGGTGTAGAGAATGTTAGTAGGTTAGTTGTGTTGTGTTGTGTTGTGTTGTGGAGCGTAAAGTGAAATCATGTTGTTTACCGCGCCAGTGTCCGGTGCACGCGCACGCGCTCCCCCGCGCCCTCCTCTGCACTCACCGCGCGACGCACCTCGCGACGCCATCTGCACAATGACACAAATTTAATGGTGTGCCATCTACTGTCACACTAAGGGTCATTTAGGCAGACCCTAAGAATATATTTAGTATAAAAAATCTTAGAAATTTCTAGACTATGTATAAAACAAAATAAATTTACAAATCAACAAGACGCCTCTCGCTAAATAGAAATACTAATGTAAATCATATGACAAATAATTAGATTAACACAATGAGATCAAGACAATGCGCTTGCAGCGAGTCTTTCTTTAGGTCAAGTATTATTTTACGGTAAGAGGATTTCAACAATATACTATTTCAATTCAAAACAACAAATAAGGTAATTAGCTAAAGTGTACTAAGGTCCGATCTTAATAGCATATAAAAATACACAGAATAATGTTTTTTTTGTTCCATGCATACTTTCAAAAACAACTTTTAAATAAATAAATGACGCATTTATTACGACAATATTATTATACAGTGCTATCGACTCGGCGACCGCGTCGGCGTGTTTTCTTTCAGCTTAAATGGGTCCACCTGATACCCACCTGTGTTGGCAAATCCTCGCTAACCACGAGCCGCAATAAAGTTTGAATGTTCCAATGTGCCTACATACTTGTAGAGATGCATGGAGGGCGGCGGCGAGGAGAGCTGGCGGGACAGGGAGGAGCGCGGGCGAGCGCCGCGCCGCCAGCTGCCGCCCGCGCGCGTCGGCACCTCCGCCAGCAGGTGCGCGCCCGTCGCCTCACAGATACCTACCTGCATACAACAACTTATCACCACTACTCCTAGTAAGGGTAGTGGTATGGGGCTACAGTTTCCGCAACTTCACGACTTGCTCGTATTTTGCGTGAGAAGGCAACCACTACAATGGAGCGTCGATTTAGGCGCCGAAATCAAAATGAAATTCCGATCGATTCTGGTAAATAAATATTTAGAAGATCTATTATGAAGAAAAAGGGACAGGGTATAAGGAATAATTTCTTCATTTACATAGGCTCACTCCTTAATGTAAATGAAGAAATTGTGTCTTATTTAATTCGACAACATTCTAGGTAGCGGTTAGCGTTATTAATAATTAAGACGAAATGCGACGTTATCGATTTTACGGCCTCTAATAAAATATTAACGCTCTCGTCTGACCTCTGTACAACCTTGCTTTCGTTTTGTTACTTAAAAGGTGAAAGCGAAGTTTCTACATTATTTCTGCTAACTATTTAATAGTAGTTTAAATAATGTTTAGTTTTTAATAGTGGATACAACTGTGTGTTTATAATTTTTTTTATCAGAATGTCCATTCTTTACTGCAGGCATATTTTAATATTTTATTTAAAGATTAAGCACCGTATCCTCGTCCACATCGTGTCTATTGAAGTTGTTCCTGCTGAGAGCGCGCTGCAGCCGCGCACGTTCTCGCGCGGAACCGCCGGGCGGGCCGGCGCCGGTGCGGGCCACAGCGGCGCGCGCCTCCGCCGCCCGCCTCGCCCAGCGCCGCAGCGTGCCCTCCCCCGCCGCACCACACGGCCCTGCGCCTGATCCCGCCCGGCCCACGTCTCGTACGCGACCCTCCTCCATTGCTATAACCTGTACATAACACCAACACATAAATCAGAAATAGATGACAGTAGTATATATCCTATCCTATCACCTACATATGTAATGCTGAATCAATAATTACTTTCCTTTCTATAGTAAGATGTAAGCACTAACCAAGTCAGCATAGTGAAGCAGCTCGAGCCTGTTGGTGGCGAGCAGCACGGTGGCACCGGCGCGCGCTGCGGGTAATAATCCGCGCGCCACCACGTGTCGCGCCAGTGCGGCGTCCAGTGCGGCCAGCGGCTCGTCCAGCGCCAGCAGCCTCGCGCCGCTGTACACTGCACGCGCCACGCACACCCGCACGCGCTGCCCGCCCGACAGCGGTGCCCCGCCGCGACCCAGTTGCGTGCGGTCACCATCTACACATACGAACATGCAAAGAAACACATTTTTTTTATATGTACTTTGTATGTATTTCATAGGTACTTTGTAATCTATTTGCACTTTTTTGAGGATCTAATGATATATTTTTTCTCTTAAGCTGACAAGATCGATTTTCTATAAGCGTTTTTACCTGGTAACAGTTGTAGATCAGGTCGAAGAGCTGCGGCGCGGAGAGCGCGCGAGTACTCCGCGGGGTTCCAGCGGCGGCCCAGCAGAATGTTTTCGCGGATGGAGCCCTCCAACAACCAAGGCGGCTGACCGGCGTAGCTTGCACTGTATTCGCTTTACAACACAAGAATTGATATAAATTAATTATTAATTACATTGTATGTACAGGGCAACAAGTGAAAGTACAGAATCAATCTCTCTCAGCAACGCTCTGCATAAACAATGATCATACGTATTCAATACATTATACAAACAGATGTATTATAGATACTATGAGAAAGTATACAACTTACCCGTTCCAACTAATTTCTCCTCTTTCAAGATGCATTTCTCCCAACACAGCAGACAGGAAAGACGACTTCCCAGATCCAGTTGATCCGACGACCATTATAAGTTTTCCTAAAAATATAAACAACCTAATTAATTGATGAAGAAATGTACATTCAAGACGTGAATGTTAGGTACTTGCTTACCAACTGGAATATCTAAATCATCAACATCGAGCCAAGAGTTATCTCTCATCTTCCAAGAAAATGCCGCATTTTTAAATCTTATAAGGTATTCTTGATCGTTGCAAGTGGGCTTGTTGTCTTCGAAGAATTGATCTTCACATTCCAGATCGATATCTTTATTGGCATCGTCTTGTTCCGAATATATACAGTTAGGAGCTGAGATCGCAGCATTGTTAACAAGTAAATCATTTTCTTTGGTCTCAGGAGCATCTTGTTCGTAATTATCTTCTTTAACGTTACTCGATTCAGGCAGTTCCAAAAATTCTTTGATTCTATTCGTACTGACCTAGAATGATATTCTAATTATCTGGTTATAAAAAATGGAAATTAAATCTATTTATAAATTTTCCCTACCATAGCCTGAATAACCATGAGCACTGTCACTGGTAAAATAAGAAGTGGTATTGCCAATTGATTAAATAGAGCCAGTCCGGCTAAGACATTCACTACTGTTAAACCTTCACCATTGTCTAAAAAATATAGCAGTGTATATGTAACAACTGTTATGAGGATGGTAGATGCTTGTGTTGTGAAAGCTGAAAAACAAATATATTATATTTTCGATTTCATCTAAAACCAGTATTGATTCGATAAATATTTTCGTACATACTTACTCAGAATTCCCCAATATACGGAATCTTTATTTAACATTCTCAATTCTACTTCTCTTAATTGTAAAATTTTCTCATTAAACAAATCTTCCCAAACGTAAAGTTTAATAACATTCATGCCTTGTAAGATTTCCGACATTTTGGACACCCTGTGATCTGTGCATTTTGATATATCCTTGGAATTATCCGAGAGCCTTTTACCGATGTAGAATTGCAATGGAGTTATAATAATAATACTAACAACGGTGCCTATTATTGCACTGACGCCTAGTTTTGTATAAAGTAAATACAAAATTACTGCTACCTAAAAAAGTAATACGAATAAAACACTAATTAAAATGTAAATAATTAACATAGTTAAACTAGTGTGTACCTTCAAAGGTATGGCCCAGATGTAATGGCACACCCAGACGCATGACATAACATTGTACGTATCTTGTGATATCAGGTTGGTGATTAGACCTGACTGCGAAGGTGCAGACTCCTCAATGCTCTGCAGGAGTGGTGACTCTTCGTCTATTTCCGTGTCTGTCGAGGACCATGACGCTAGTCGCATGCATTTGTCATACACCATACTCTATTTGAAAAAAGAAATTAAATAAAATCATGGGATAACAAGTACATTATCTATTAAGATTATTGTTTGCATACTAAAAAGATTAGTCTAAAATGCGAGACAATTCGTTTCTTCTTAAATGTCTTAATAAATGGAGAACACTTTATCAATGTTTATTTATAAATGACATCACACATTTAATTCAGAGACGGTAAGTATTCAAAGCAGGTCAACCGTTTAAACAATCTCATTCAAGGTTCATGATTACCAAATATAGAAGTAGTTAAATGAATTTAATTAAGTTTATCTTAGTTTTTAAAGGTTTCAGTGTACTTGCTTGTAACGCCGTCTTCAATCTAGTTCCTTCCACCGTCACTAAATGTGTCGAGTTCTGTGAAAGTACTCCTTGTATAACTAAAGCCAATGTTACAAGGAAGAGCACAACGTAAGGATTTTTAACGAACTCTTGGATTGTAACTTCTGATTCCGTTTCAAATATTATATTAGAATCTTCGATATATTTGACAATTACGGCAAGTCCCAGAGGTGGTATAAGTCCGACCATATCTCCAAATAATTTTAATATTCCAGCGATATAAAAATTAGGCCATATCGTTTTTAAATAGACCCGCCACATGTTGCCCTTTTCGTCATTTAATTTTGTCATCTGAAATAAGCATTAAACTGATACAAGATTTTTAATTATATGTGTATATTGACTTCTACGTAAGAGGTTAAACAAACCTGTTTGTATTTTTGGTATATTCTTTTAAATCGTGCATAAATTGTTGAGGATTTTTCATCATCGGGCAGTTCACCGAAATCGTCTTCATCGTGAGTTGTTTCATAATATCCTTTGTACAACAAGGGATTTAACCAAAAGAAAGTTATCTTAGAAAAAAAGTGAGTTTCACTATGCTTGTAGGACACGTTGTCTTTGGTAAATGATTCCTGTGGTCCGTGATTACGTTTCGTGACCTGCAAAAGTTTATTAAGTAAATCTAATGTGGTAAGTATTGTAATAAATGGAGTAAACGTTGGGGTATTGGCGTCGGACACTGAACACGGGATGGCGGCGCCAGACGTAAGGAATGTTTTCAGACGTCCGGCGTCTGTGTGAAACAACAGCGGCAGGGTTGCTTCTGCTTTTTTTAGTAGTCTTCTTCGAGAAAAGAGAAAACTTAAAAATAGTTTTTGTTCGTTGCATATTTTTTTTATTTCTATGGTTGATGTTATAGACATTGTTCGGAAAAATACCAAGTAATATCTAGGAGCTCTGTATCAAACTTCTAATGTCTATTTCAACCGGAACGTTATCAATGTAAAATATAAATGAGGCCATTCATAAATTCTTACGATGCTAATATTTTGGTGTACGATTGCCGAACAAGTTTTATCGTAATATCAATTAAGTTTCATGTTGATTCACTTATTGATTGGTCATCATCAGCCAATATCGGTCCACTGAGAAATATATATTCCAATAAATATGTTTAAGATCAGTTTCATTTAAGCAATAAAGCTTTAAGATATATTAGAATCTTGTTCACGAACACATGTGCACCCCTTGCGGTGAGTCATAACTGTCGTACGAATAAACATTGTCGGAAATAATGAACCGTTCGATATTAAATTATACGTCAACCAAATTATCACATGGTACTAATACTTTAATTCAACAAAAGAATATCTCGTAATCACTTAGATTTTCTATGGATTGCAGTCTAAGCGAGGGATAAGTTATATTTTGTTGGCGTTGGGCCATTCCCAACTGGCTAAAAGGTCAACAGCCTTGTCTTGCTGAATGTTTTATGATCTGTCACAGTTCTACTACTTTTCTGTAAAAAATCTTGTTAATCCGATGACAATTATTTAATATCAAACTAATTAAGTTAGTGGTAATAACATCGTATCTTATTTGAATTAGTTTCTCTTATAGTTTTTTTTTAAATTATTCTTAATACTAGGTTGTTCGCGACTTCGTCCAGGTGGAATTAAAAAATTATAGTAACAAAAGTCCCGACATTACATACAAAAATACAAATCTCGTTTAATATTAGTATAGATTAATGCGTTCATTCTTCGCGTCTTTTTAAATTGTTACCATTATTCATAACAAGTTAAAATTACGATGAGCACTTTGTATTCGTGGCGTCTGCTGTTTTCAATACAATTGCCGATTTGACAAAGAGCATTGTTTGCGTGGTTCCGATACATCGACTATTTATAATGCCTGCTATTGTCGACTTCAAGCTTCACATCTTGTCATAGATGTATGTCTTTTATAATGGATTGTATAGATTGATGTACCTAAGCCATGTCTATATTTGTAACTAGCGAGCATCTTGCTTATTAAGAATTAATTGTCGTTTTTGATTAAAGGAAACAATGTCATTTGTGATCGTGTCTGTTAAAGCTGTAGCTTTGCCTTTAAAGTAGTACATATATAACTTCGAATACACGTATGTATAATAATAGCTAATACAAATACTAGCTGTTGCCCACGACTGCGTCTATGCCTATGAGTTTATGTTTAACTTTGTTTTACATCTGAGCTGTGCCAAATTTAATCAAGATTGAGCTGTCCTAGAGATACCTTCAAACATCCATCCATTCATTTATCCATCCAAACATTCGCATTTATAATATTAGTAAGATAAGCTAAATTCCCTGGAGAATTCACCGCGTCTATTTATGTTCTTACGTAAATACAGATTTAATTTAGAAATGATATTTACGTTGGGGTTTATATTTTGTCACACGGTTTAATTTGGGTTGATAGCCTTGACGGAATGCGAGAAAAAAATATAATGGCGTCAGCGACATGAACATGCGCCTCGTTAAGCGCTTCCTCTGATAGTATCGCGGTTAATAAACACATGTTGAAGTACTCACACATTTATCACATTAGACAATCGCTTTTATAGAATTAATAAGAAACCTTAGTCTATATAAAAATTTTGAACATTTCGTTTATTCCAATTCTCGGCTCAAAGATACACATTTGGTTTCTCCCCGACATTGTGTTGAATCATACCGGAAAGAATGAGTGCTGATCGTGAGATCATTTCTTTGTAATTTTTATTTTTGGGATTCGAGCCTTTAAGAGTGTCAGGTGTAAAAAGTAATATATGAGAGTAGGTATAGAAAAAAATAAAATTAACAAATAGAGATAATAAAAAAATTGGTGGCATTTTTGTATTTGAAATAACGGCTTTCATGGATTGATATAAGATATACTAGATAATTTAAATCTCACAAATGTTTCGTAACATGTTTGAAATTATGTTCATTCTTATATTGGATTTTGAGACAGAAGTTTTTTACTTCTGTTAATATTTTAATATTAAGCAGTTGCAGATATGGCAAAGAAAGTGTAAAATTTGCGGTAAATACCTATTGGATATTTGCCGTAACAAATAAATCAAATTGCAAAAGATCGATTTAATTAGTTGAGGTAATTTTTTGCAGTAAAGCAGTTTTAGTCTTTCAATCGATTTCGAATATTCGATATAAAATTTTAATCAAAGGTTGAATTAATTAGAAGTAACGATGGAATAGCGTCTTTTGGCCTCCAGTTATATACATAGATCAATCCTATTCTTGATAGTACGTCATTTCTAATTAACCTTCCGCTGCGATTGATATCTTCCAAAGGAGCTCAATGTAAACGATTCTATTTTGATAGTGTTATTTCTATGCATTATAATTATTTCTCAAATCGGTACATACAAATAAAAAATCACTACTAAATTAATTACAAACATTTTAGATATATGATAATTATTTGAGGTGTTTCGGTTAAAACTAGAAAATTCACACTAAAAATTAAACAAATAATAAACTGCAATGTTTGTTTAACATTAGTACTGTCATGCATTACCTTACTTCGTTCGTACGGTTATTTTTATAGCGATTGTATTTTCATGCATCATCATAGCGATAACGCTTCAAAAATACTATAAAAAGAATTAAATTTACCTCATCATAGAAGCAAAGGCAGTCTACGGTCGAGATTACCAATGCTAGTACAATAGTGAATCCTTGCACGTAGATCTGGATATGAGTGTACGATGCTCCGGCGAGAACGTGATGCCAGAGCACAGCGGCGGAGGCGGCCGAAGCCAGCAGCCAGTATATCGCGAGATAGAGGAGTGGGGCTGCGGCACGGCGCCACCACAGGAGCAGGTGCAGCGCGCATGCGGCCAACCAGGCCAGCAGCGCCGCCAGCGCGTGCGCCAGCCGGACGCCGTCCGTCCGCAGCGCCGCCGCTGCTAATCCGCAGCACCACGTCACGCCTAACAGCAAGCTGGCCGTGCCCCGCACGTTCTGACCACGCCAGCGGCTGCCCTCCCTAAACGTATATTGTAACGTTAAGAAACTACAAAAGGTAGACTTTGACTAATTAAATGAGATACTGAAGTATCATTAGCTTTCTCATTAGATCGATAAATATTGCACTTATATGTTTCTTGCTTTTTCCTACATAAGCAACCGCTTGCTTTGCTTGTTGGGAATAATATTGTTAATAACGTTGGTTTTTCATGGGAAAATAACTTGTTATAATTATAACGGTTGAATGGTTAAAAATAGGTTTACGAGTAAATTTTCCTATTTTAAATTATTTAAATGAAGGTAGGTAAGGTAATTGGGAAGGAAAATGTTTAATGTAATGTAGTTGCCACAAATATCTAAAGCACCAAAGGAAGTGAAGGTAGACTGTCAACTTATAAAGGAGTGTGAGGAGATACGCTCCATTTAGATGGATTCTAAACTTGTTGTTTTGGAAATACAACTGGCACTAATCCATAGTTATCTGAATGGGTGTGTGTGTGCGTGTGTATGGTGTATGTGTGACTGATATACCAGCGCGGTCGTACTGGGGAGCAGCGCGTGCAGCATAGCGCGGCGGCGGCGAGCGTGGCGCAGTAAAGGTGCAGCGCGTGCAACGCCGCAGCCAGTGCGTGCGCAGCGCACCCGGGCTCCGCGCCCCAGCCTCCGGCCTCGACCCCGCACACCGCCTCCATCCCCTTACAGGTACAGAAACCTTGGGGGAAATCTACCGGTGAACTTTAACGGTCTTATCATATATAAGGGTATAGGTACGATAATGGTTGTCATCTCTGTTTTCAATGAGAGGTATATAGAGATATATAAGTAATGGTTATTACGGAGAGGTAATGCGTACATTTTTCTATCATTATAGATTTAAGAATTCCTCAAAAACATACGAGTACGTATACGATTTTATAGTTGTGGTAAAATAATAACGTATATTTGTTTTAAACTTTGCAGCAACAATTATATGTACGCTACAACATGCAATGCACACGATTCACAGAGAACAATAAAATTTATTACTGTTCATTACTTCTCAAAACAATGTGTTGAAAAACGTTTGTGAGAGCATTGAGCATCAAGGTAAAATCTCTCGGCTGCGTCCTCTGTTTATTGTAATACTACTCATATTATGGCAAAATTACAATCCTATTTAGTTTATAAATCCAATTGATGCGGTAAATAAAAATAACATGGTTAGTCAATTTTAGACAAGTGCAGAGTTAGCGTTGTATGTATTTTACGTTCTTAATTATAAAGAAAATTACATGCCTACTCTTATTTGTTAGATAGCGTTTTGTGTGAAATAACTCCCATTGGATTTAATTTCACTTTAGACCTACGCTAATTTTTGCTTTAATCTTACTAATTTTATACTTACTGATATTATAAACGCGAATGTTTGGATGGATGGATGTTTGTTTGAAGGTATCTCCAGAAAGTCTGAATATATCTTGCTGAAATTTGGCATAGATGTAGAATTTAGCTTGGAAGAACATTGACAATTTGATCGTGAAGGGCACAATTAAGTCAAGAATAATGTTATGACTTTTAAAAAGTAACTGAACTTTATGTTTAGACCGAAAATGCATTATTTAAATTCCTCTGGAATCTTCAATATGGATATGTACCGACGTCATGAATTGTTCAACTGCTTATCAAACTTTTATAGGAATGCAAAATACAGTAAACAATTTCTGACTTTACATTGTTTAATATTTATATTAGTAAACGTAAAACACTATGGAACATTTTCCGTTTGTTCCAGAACGATATTTACATCGGACTCATATGAAATGGAAATGAAAAGACGGGGAATGAACAGGTTCATTAAAAGACAAAATGGTTATTTAGACATAGTTTGTAATTATTTTATTTTACAAACATATCAATTTATTATTCTACGTTAAAATATGTGAATGTTTTCAAACTTACCGTCAAAATACAGATCCTGATTTTATGTGGGTCGCGAAGTCACGTTCACTGAGCACATAAATAGAATTTTATTTTCACTTATTTTCCATTGTATGAAATTGTTAGTTGAGTTTTCGTGGCATTGCAGCGATTTGTTTCTGTTTCGCGTGGTGTGTGCGTGGCGCGGAAGGACACGGCGCAGCGTATGTGACGTGTTTACACGCGCGCCGAATAAACTGAACTGAGTTGAGCTGAGTGAATTGAGTGATCAGTAGCGTAGCCGCGACTCGCATCGCAACGGCAATTGAATGGCGTCGAGTCGCGTCGCATACAAACAAACCTTGTGCTCGTGGCCGATGTCCGCGATCCGCGACCGCCTTCGTCACTGCATTTACATTTACGCTAATTCATTGAGCGTATTTCCACTGGCATTATTGGCTGACATTTTTATGCGGGCAAGAGGAATGGAGAGCGGGGTACTCTTATCACTAAACAAAACAGTCTGTGACCTGTTTCAAAGATTTACTTCTAAAGAACCTTATATTTTATACAATTTATTCATGCAAGTGTACAAGTACGAGGTTTAAATTTAAATAAACTTAAAGTAGGTACAATTCAATATAATAAATTATACAAACAACGACCGGTTGATCAATTCATATCTTAACTGGTTTTAAATGTAATGTATTGTATAATACATACAACCTTTATCGTGAGTTTCCACAGCCAAAACATTTATCTAACATGTCATCCTTTTCAGTTTTCTCTTAAAAATAGCGATTAAGACATGTCGTCGTCGTTACAGGTTAGGCAGTAAATTAGTGTATTGTAACAAAAAGTATTGAGTTTAAATCTCAATTAGCTTATAACTTGAATAATGTACAGCAAATTATGTGTGCTATTGTAAGCGACAGTCGGCATTAATAACGATTGTCCCCGCTGACCTGGATCCGTATATTACACACGTCAAGGCATGTTCATATTTAGTTTACTTTTCAGTTTGTTCATAAAACTTACCAGCTATTGTGCGCCACACGCCCTAATTTCAATATTGCATGTGTTTATCCTACGATTATGTCGTTATGTTATTTTATATTTCACGTTAAATCCATCAATCACAAAAAAAAAAATAACTAGGGTACTAGGCTATCAACCCAATGACAATCACAATGACCAAAATTGTTTTGATTACCTGAATTAATAGCATATAGCTCATTTTACATGGATATAAATTACCTCCTCACTTTCTTGTTACAGTTTCAAATATACGGAACTGTTAATTAAATATTCACATTATGAAATACCAGGAAGTCTAGTATAAAATGTCAGTGACTGGATAAAATACTGCAAAGAAAAGCTACGACAGTCATCCTCTGAGTAGACGAGACTTAACTTTCTAAGAAGATTAACTACAAAAGGCGTAGGACGACGACAGTTATACTGCAAGTAAATGACTAAATCTAAGAAAGAAACAAAGCATTTTGTTATAGAAATATTTTATTTATCTATAAATTATATATTACTAATTTATACAAATAAATATGAATGTAATAAAATGCAGTTACGTAAGTATTAGAAGTCAATATCCCAACCGGAGGTCTCGTCAGGCGGCAGTTTGTCTTTGGGATACTTCTCAAAGTTGCTGAGGTCGAAATCATTGGACACGGGCTGGATGAGAGGCGCCTTGAGTTTCTTCTCACGGAGACCATCCCAATCAAAACCTAGGAACCATCTGTAGAACATTAAAGTTATAAGTACCAATCGAAATGAGAATCTGTTATATGAAGATTTGCATGTATGTTTCGTTAATTCAAATCCAAAATTTATTTTATTATACACAAACTGCATACTCGACCCTACTAAGACTAAAATATTTGCTAAAACGTTTTTTCACTTAACTGTACATTTTTCTCATAATAAAAAAACAGTTATTTTTAAAAAGTGAAATTAGCGTTGTTTACTTAAAACTTCGACGTTGAATTGAAATAAAATATAGAGAAACACAGATGATAAGAAAGTAAGTTTTACAATGTTAATGGACAAGTTGTAGAAAGCAGTTGTATAGAATGAAGACCTCGAAAGTCGGACTTGATTTCTCTCCTTTTATAATACCAATCAATATTAAGATATGTTTTACTGAACTATATAAACAAGACGACTTCTGGTTAAATTTAATCGCGTATTTAACTTTGTAATGTGTTCGGTTTTGACTTTTTAAACGTTGTAATTTTACCATCAACAATTCTGTGTCACTCATAATGATAAATTAGGAAAAGTTGCAATTTTCAAACATAATTATTTTGTAACATAATAATATCTAAAGTGAAATTAGCGTTGTTAAAGGAACTCCTTTTAATAACATATTTTAGTAAATTATTCGTTTTTTAATATTTTATTTTATATCATAGATTTAAGACTATTCGTTAGATTCTTTGTTACTTTATTGTTAAAATTTGCATTAGTTAAACTAATAAATATTTTTTTTGTACAAATACATACATGACTAAAGTATATAATATCTCTTTTATTATATGTATCTGTCAATTTTAACTTGAATTTACTTAATAATACTTTGAATAAGTTGTTCTGAAAACGTATGCAGCGTTAATTGAGGAAATCAAGATTCCCCTCTACAGAATAAACGACAGGATGCAGGAAATAACATATTATACCTTTCGTTGTTATTTCACCAACAAACAATAATAACCATAATTATATAAGTCTGTCATGCAATTGTAATAAAAGTAGAACATGATTATATATGACAAGCTGTCGCCCGCGACTTCATCCGCTGTTATTAAAAAACGCTTGTGTTCTTCCAGGTGTTATACATCTATGGCAAATTTCAGCGAGATTCTTGCAGCGGTTCTGGAGATAACTTTTAAGAAATATCCTTCCATTCATCCATTCACATTTATAACATTAGGAAGATTTTAAAACGATTATTATGTGGTAAAAATAATAGTTATCATTTTGATATTATTAAGAAATATAACTGAGTAATAAACTAAAATGTACTGAGAAATAAAATGAGTACGATTGTCTACTTTTAAATTTCGAGCATTGTTAACAATATCGCGACTCAATAAATCATAATTCGTAAAAAGTAATGTGGATATGAAAACATTAAAATCGTTCAAACTACATTCTATAAAAGGGTTTCCTTGCGTATAAAACAAATGTTTATTGTTTATGGCTAAGCGTAATAAACATTAATAAATTGTAGGTTTTATTAATAAAACCAAGGCCGTTAAAGCACGCGTTTAAATTAACCGCGATCTTGACAATTAAACTTGATCAGAGGCTGCAGGACGTCAAATATATCGTAATCATTTTAAATTAGGACTGACATCTCTTAAGTTGATCTGTGATAGGAAATTAGTGTATTAAAAAAAATTACATGATGTTTTTTTAAAGACGATTATAACGGAAGACTCACATTTGGCCGAATGGCTTACTTCAGGTGATTTGTAAAATAAATTATTTTCAAGATTATATACTCACTCTTATATCTGTAAACCACACCTTTTTGCAAGAACACTTTTGTAATTAAAAAGGGGCTATATGAATCAGACATGAGAAATTAACTACTCCTATTTTCGCAGCGTATAATCTACTAACTTAGAAAATTTATTTTTATTTATATTTAGATAATTGTTATTAACTTACTTATGATTTTTGACATCGACGATACCGTTCTTGAGGTAGCCGAGACGCTCGGCGGGCACGGCACGGCACAACTTGCGCACGAGCAGCTGCGCGGACTTGGGCACGCGCGGGTGGAACGCGACGGCGTCGATACCTCGCAGTATGAGCGTGTACGTCTTCATGTGATCGCCGCCGGGCGCGCGGAACGGCGGCTTGCCCACCAGCAGCTCGTGGATGAGCACGCCCAGCGCCCAGCAGTCCACCGCGCGGTCGTGACCCTACATTGTTATTAATTCATTGATTACGCCTTCATGTATAAAAACATATATAACAAAGACGTGTAAATTACACTATTTTGATTTAAGAACGGTTGAACCGCTTTGGCTGAAAATCGTTGGGAAAGTAGCTTAGAACCTGGATAAGGATACTTTTATCCTGTTCCCTTCTCTTTAATTATCAAAATGTAGTAACAAATAAATTCAAAATATTTTAAAATGCCTTTTTACTTTGACTTTTATCTCGGTAGGAGTTGTTAACCGTTTTTGAAAATAATTTTATCGCAGTATTACTAACATGATGAGTAATGTCTTACCTTGTTCAAAACAATTTCAGGTGCAACGTACTCGGGAGTGCCCGCGAATGTCCATGTTTTGCTGTTTTGAGATAATCTCTTCGCAAATCCGAAGTCGACCTAAAATTATATTAATTGATGTATTCAATGTAAGTTCACTAACTTATGTATTTAATAAGAGATTCAAACTTAAAATATTTGCAAAACAAATTCGGACTTTGTAACGTCAACTTAATAGCGTCAACATAACCTTAAATTGTAATTATAATTATATCATTTCTATGTCACAAGAATAAAGTATCTTTTTAAAATGATTACAAGATATTTTTTTGTAAAGAGTAGCTGCAGATAAATTACCAGTTTAATGTAGCCATTTTTATCGAGCATCAAATTTTCGGGTTTAAGATCTCTGTATATGATGTCTTTTGAATGCAAGTATTGGAATGCCTCAACGACGCATGCGGCCACAAACCGCGCCACGTTCTCGGGGAAGTATCTTTGCTTTTGCAGTATTGTCCACACGTCACCGCCCAGCACAGGCTCCATTAGGAAATATATAAATTTGTTGTCTTTGAATGTTTGATATAACCTAAAACATTAAATGTTTACGTTATAGAACGTTGAATAAGTAGGAAAAGAAATATTAATGTGATATATTTCCGTGTACGAGAAAACTTAAATTATACTATTTATTTAATTATTAACATGGTAAATTGCAGCTAATTTTACTAATATTATAAATGTGAAAATTTGAATGGATGGACGGTTGAATGTTTGTGACTATGTATCTCCGAGCAGATCAACGGATCTTGATACATTGTCTAGCAGAACTAAAATAGCTATTTAGTTAACTTTTTTTAAAAACTTCGCGATCGACAACTAGTAAGTAATAATATTAGATGGATGATAATTAAAGTAAAGTCATTTATAATGAGCTGTCATGTTGCAGTCGTGTTTTTTTCGACCAGTATATAATTTGGTTTATAAATGGTTAATTAACTGCGATCTTGGTGTCTGATTATCGATTCAGAATTGCTATTTCAATCTGTCCGATACAGACACTGATATAAACATAGATATCTTAGTTTTAATCGACATTTCTCTTGTAATTACGTAAACAAGATAATATACGACTCGTAAAACAAATATTTGAGGTCATTTCCATGTTTTACGTTATCTAATCATGTTGCCATTATAAAAAAAAATCAATCGCTAAATAATTGCAAAAAGATGTTTTCTTAAGTAATGTAATTTATTAAATTTATCTATTGATTCTTAATGTAAAATAAATTGCGAATTATACGAACTATGACAAGGCACTATTACTATTCTTTTGACTTCATCGAAACTAACCGATAAGTCATAAAGTAGTCTACATTCTTAAGGGATTGAGGATTGAAGAAAAAATGTAGCAGCAAATTTAAACCGAAACCATTTAAATTAAAAAAAAAGAATCTAGGACAAAAAAAAAGCTTGGTAATATCTGGACTTTAAGCACTGACCTGCAGACGAATGGGCTGTTGCACGTCATCATGATGTTCTTCTCGTTGTAAGCATGCTCCTGCTGTTGCTGCTGCACCATATCGACCTTCTTGAGGCACTTGAGCGCGAACGTGAGCGTCGGCTGAGGTTTGTACTGAACCAGCTCAACGCGCCCGAACCCACCCACACCCAAAGTGCCGATTATCTCCAAGTCCTTCAGCTCCACGAACTCGTACTCTGAAAACAAAATGTTACAATTTCTTCTTTTTCTTCATTCGGCTTCTTCGAGGAAAGAAATGGGCCATGTAGGGCCAGTGTGAATTCATAACTCACCACTTTTGACTTCAGAATTCTTCTTCTGTTGAGAAGCTCGTGGTACTGCATGTCGTATATTCTTTAACTCGTCAAGATTACCAAGCAGATCAGTGAATGGCCTAAAAGATAAGAATATTGGTTCTTCAATAAGAAATCGTATAAAATACCTTTTTAAAAAATTTAAAAAGGTATTTTTTTACTCGCGGATATTAGAGAATAAGTAATGCAATTAAAGGGACAAAATATTGTTAAATATGTAGAAAATTGTTAGTTGTAAGCATTTGATCTAGCACGTCTGAAACAAGACTACTCTTCTGCCGGCTATGTGCCAACTAAGGTGTGGTTACTGGTACGGTTGACTTTTTTACTGTTTGTATACTGACCCTCGCTCCAGCGTGAGGCACTCGACGCCGGGCGGCAAGGCGGTGACAGTGGCGAGGCGCCGGTCCTCGTGCAGGAGCGCCTGCTCGCCGAAGTAGTCGCCGCGTCGTAGCGCCCCCACGCGCCGCTCGCCGCCATCGCCATCGCGCTTTGTCACCGCCACCGTGCCGCCGCGGATTATGTAAAATTTGTCGCCGCGGTCTCCTTGCCGCACCACCGCCGTGCCCGTCGAGAAGAACTCCTGGATAGTCCATGTTTATGTAAACTCTAATACAACCACGCTAATCACGACCACATAACAACTTAACACAAGATAGGATCGTGGTGAAGGGCTAGTTTTTCTTTTTCTTTTGATTTACTTTTATGTAATTGACTTTTGATTTTTTGAGTTGATTGACTGGAAAAATACATGTAATTAGACGTCGCTCGACTATTCCTCTCTATCTAGATAAAAAATATTTTATGTGTGTTTCAGCAGTGAGAAATGTTACCAAAAAACCTGCATATTTAAGTTGGGTTCGATTCCCAGATTTTCTTTTTTCATTGTATTTCTTACTTATTTACACTTATATCCTACAGACAAGACAAGTTTTTGCACCTGTGTTTGCATTTGTTGTTAAGCCATAAATATAATGTTTATATTGTCACATACATACTTAATTAACATTTCAATATGCGTATTAATTCTTACTTGTGGAGGAAAAAAACTATAGAATAAAATAAAATCAAGAAATATTCAGAATTCTTAAAAATTTAAAAGTTATTCTATGCGGGTTATCATTGAATTTATGTTAAAATGGTTCTATTTATTTCCTAGTTTTCTTGACGCACAACTATTCAGGAAGAAGCATACATTTTTTAAAATGATCAAAATCAATAATTTATAACTCGCCTACTTGAAAACATTGATTAAATTCCAATTCAATCAAAGTACAATCTCGATAAAGAAAAAAATCATAGATAGCACTATATAGGTATTCACGAGCATTTAAACAAACAATATGCATAATATGCTTAAATGTGCATAAATTTAATATAAAAATATAGATAGAATAGTCAATCAATAACCTCACATAGTTTAACTTTATTGGGATAAAGAGGTATAAAAGCAATATCATTTGACATTTAAGTAAGTGCCGGAATTAAAGTTGTTAAATGGTTTTTCTTAGTGTGGTTTTAGTATGAGAAAAATACACTAAGGTACTTAGCGAACCATTATTTTAGAATTACTATCACACTACCTTAAAGTATTCTAAAACCTCATCTTACTAATATTATGAACGCGAATGTTTGAATGGATGGATGGATGTTTGTTTGAAGGTATCTCCGGAACGGCTGAACGGATCTCGCTGAAATTTAGCATAGACGTAGAACATAGTCTGGAAGAACACATAGGCTACTTATTTTGTCTTTTTTAATTCCTCGCGGTCGGAGTCGTGGGCGATAGCTAGTAACTTATAAAGCTAGAAGTAGCGCCATCTATTTTCGAAAGATGGTAAAGCGAAGACAGAATAAAAATCGTACATACCCGTTTTAGGAAGTCAGAGATCTTGGCGAGCTCTATAGGATGGATGTCCCTCAGCAGAGGCACGGATGCCAGGAATCGAATGTTGTCCTCCTGCTCTTGTCTTCCACTTCTGACCATTATCTTCTGGAATACTCTTCGCTCCAGGGTCCATACTTTTGCTTCTGTTATACCTTAATAATAAGTGGAAATATAGCAAATATAAATATAACATAAACATATGGACAGTTGGAAATAAATTATTAAATAAAATGCTAATGCGAATGGTACGACCTCAGTTATGTTTTTTACCTAATAAGATTTTTGAAAAGCATTTCATAGAGTTTAAAATATTTCATAGAGTATTCAATATTATCAAATTACCGTATCTTTGCTTTAACTTGAAAAGGACATACTGTCATATATAACATGAGCAAACATCGCGGCTGAACCAGATGCGACAATAATTATCATATCAAAATGTTATCTTGTTTGTAGTTCATTAGCTAGATTAATTTAATTTCAAAGTATATTCCATACTAAGGATTTAGAATGCAATCATAACCACTTGTTATTCAAGGTGAGTTTCCATTCATAAACATATCTTTTTAGGGTTCCGTACCTCATAGTAAAAAAACGGAACCCTTATAGGATCACTTTGTTGTCCGTCCGTCTGTCTGTCAAGACCCTTTTTCTCAAAAACGCGTGTAGGTATCAAGCTGGAATTTATTTTAAATTATTTAAATTATCAAAAACAAAAAGACACATTTTGTGAAAGTCATGCTTTTGCCAATGTTTAATATTATTATTGTATTAAATTTATTCAGGATTAGCTGTTTAATCGACATACGGAAAAAGTTAAAAAAATATGTTTTGTTATGTTTCCACGAAATTCGATGGATTTAAAGAAAAGCAATAAAAAGTTGACTCATAATATTCTAATTAAAGCAATACATCGACAATACGTTTAAGATTGTTGCGTTATTGCCATGATTGGATTGGATTAACTTATTAAACCAACATTGATTACAAATAAGATAAAGCATCGTTTGAGTATTAATGCATACGCGTAAACAATGTCTTGAATTGACTAAACGTTGGGGATTAATTTATTAATTATCTATCGCATAGATATAAGTGTAGAATTCCTGATAAAATTCATTGAAATAGTGTCGATGTTAAATTGTACGCATATGACTATATTAGAACATAGAGCAGATAACTACATTTTACTAGATTTGTACAGTTTTAGATCCACAAAGTCATGATTGGTGCAAGTCTACGTAAAGTCATTTGTTAAAATAAGATGTCTTTATCATATATATTCCTTCCTACATAAGAGTTACCATAAAATCATTAAGTTTTTATGACTCTTTATTCTACAATGGTTAAGTTATAAGTATTGTAAAATATTTTTACTTACATCTGATGGAAGCAAAACGTTTAGCTTTGTACAAGATGGCGAGTTCCCCGAATGCCTCGCCAGGGCCGAAGTTCTTAACAACTTGTCCACCTTTGAGGACTTCGAAGTTCCCGTGAGCGGAGACGTAGAGGTGACTGCCGCTCTCGCCCTCCCGGATCATGAGGCTGCCGGCAGGAAACTCCTGTGGGCTCATCGCTTCCACCACCGCGTTCAGACGCTCCTCGTCCATCAAATTCTTTAGGAAATCGTTGGCCATGATCGCTGCCTTTATTTGGGACACCGACCTAAAATATAAGTAGAATTATTTGGCTGCTGAAAATACTAGTTATAAAAAGAATATTAGGTAAATATTGTTATAAATTACCAGTGTATAGATCAAGAGTGCTCATGAATGAATGGAATGATGTGATTGCTAATGAATTACCTTACGATATTGGCAATTGGAAGTAAGATCAGACCTTTGGACCTGATAGGCTTATATCCATATGAGAATTTAATATTTATATAATTATATATTACTCCAACTTACTTGCCGTCTTTTTCAAATTTTTCATATTGTAAGTCTATACTAGTGCGCACATTGTCTATCGGTGCGTGGGGTGCGATGACGCCGCGTTTGCGTCGTCCGCGTTTCTCAGGGTCGGTCTGCATTAGGTCCGATATTGTCTTGCGCCCCGCACTGCTCTTCCTGTCGTCCAATACGTCGCTATCGGAGTCCTTGCTGCAGCTACATGTCGACTTTTCACTCTGTATGCTCATGTAGCTGGATTTCTTGCTGGACATGCCCTGGTCCACGGAGAGCGTGATACTTTTTTTATATGCCACTCCATTTCCATTGGGAACGACCTCGGTTGGTTGCGCAGCATCGGGTACGGTTTCTGGTAATTTCTGCAAAGTTTTTTTAGGAATTACTTGTTTAACATCTGCGCCAAAATTCTTCTTCGATCAATCAAACTTTTTTGTCTTATGTAATTACATGTCTTATGACGAACGTAAGGTACAAATCGTTCGCCCTAATCAAATAGGCCTACTTGTGTAGGTATAAATATGTTTGTAGTTCTTAATACAGCATATTAACATTTTGATCATTATCTCGTAAATAGAAATCGGTAGCATTGATTGTTAACTAAAATCTGATATGTTACTAATACTTTGATAAAGGAATAGTGCGTGTTAGAGCGTCACCAATCACCAAAAATAAGACATAACATCATAGAAAGTACTCAATTTCTATCACGTGAATGCGATTGCACTGAAGTGCTTATTTTACACAAAGTTTGCGAATTAGAGTTACAATAGATTTATTACGATAATGTAAGTACATACCAAGAGTAAATACCAAATATCTTTCTTAAGTATGTGACGTTATAGTTGTATGATTAGTATTAACTAATATTCTATCTTGTATTTATAAAGTTATTTGTTTTTGTATTAGATGAACTTTAATTTCGCATTCTGACCTTGCTTTGTTCTTACGGAAGACTTGAGCTAATTTGATTCTACATAAAATCAATATGAAAATGTTTTTGTATTTACTTCTTTTACTTATTATCTCTGATAGAATCACGTTTGCAACAAACGATCAAAATGTGTTAGTTTGTTTAACAACGGGGAAGTACCAGATTATCTGAGTAAATTCAGTTTTATGTTCGGAGCGTATTAAAATTTATGGCATTATGACAAAATTACACAAATGTGACTGTTATTGTGTAACTATTGTCATCTAGCATGATTATGCAAAATCGTAAACTTTTGACTAAAGGTTTTTATTTTTTCGTTGGTTTCTTAGACGAAAATCTCTGTATAAGAATAACGTCATCCCTGTCATTATTTTTGAAAAAACAGAGAAAAAAATATATTTCATTTTCTATGTTTGTCAAAGATTTTGGTCTCAGATCTCATTGTATTAAAGATAGTTCAAATGTATTCTTAATAGCATCAAGGTCTAGTACTTTTGATTGCGTTTCTAAATATAGTAAGAAATGTTGTATATGGAATTCTATTATAGTGAATTAAAACACTAATTAATTAAAGATACATTATCTTTCTTCCTTTTCAAGCTCGTTTTTCTAATCGTACTTCACATCTCTGTGTTATTTTAACTTATCGCAAAATTATAATTTTTATCAATATTGGCTACCCTGATTTCATATTCCAAGTAAAAACATCCCAAATATCTTTTTCGTTGTGCTGTATTACTTAACTTTTGATCCAAAATAAGATCTTAATAACATTAAAGTAAATTGTAGTAAGTAAATACTGTGTTTTCGTTTATTTTTTGTTTAACAGATTACATATTGAAAACACACCACAAAGAAAATAGCATGTCTATTTATGATACTGATGTAAATTTATGATGCGTATAAAATATTCGAAATTACATTCGATTTCTTCATGAAAAAACAAATTAATTTGCGCTTTAAGAACAACTACAGTAAAGATAATTTTTTATCAGGTTCACAGTACATTAACATATGTATCTTGTCTTTAAACTTTTTTTATTATATTAAAAGTCACAGTAAATCATAAAAATAAATGTTTGAAAAATTATAAAATATTATGACACAAATAACAGTACTATTGGTTATTGAAGGCATTTAGTTCAAATAGAATTGAAAGCTGTGTAAACTATCTTTTAACTACGTGTTAATTTTGATATCGCAATTTGATTACTTAAAGTAACTAATATTTAGGAAACAATTCATTGTATACCTACTCTAGCACGGTTGTTTACGTTGCAACAAAGGAAACGTAGTATGACTTACTGTTACCATAAATACTTACACTTATTGTTTCTCTTCGCTCGGTGCTCGTATCCTCTGCGGCGGCAGTGGTGAGGTTGAATCCGCCTCGCGAGGACCACCTAAACGGCGGGCACAGGACCATTGTAACTTGTATTCGTGAGGCACGAGATGAGGCACCACATTGAGCGCGAGTACGCGGTGTGCTGTGCCACGGCGCAGACTTGAACTGGTCGTCGGCGCGCAGCCTTATCACGACCCTAGATAATCTAGCTACACCGATTGTTTTAATTATTGTATTCTAAAGAACGATTACTATTTATCATGAAGGAGGCTTGCAATCTTATCGGCACAAATAACATTATAACATTATCATTTGCACCCAATCGCAGCTATTCATGCGTCAGCTGCGGGTACAATAACACCTCGCTGCGCCCGCGCCGCCGCGCCGTGGCGAATGTTCTCACACAACTATATCCAATCGCCGCACCGTCAGCTACAGGCGCACACTTACTTACACATTGAAATTATTTAATGAAGGAGTTTCATTCAAATCAAATAATAAAAAAAATATCTAAGTGATACCAAGCTTAGTGGAAATCATGCATGAAATTATAATTAAGAGGGGGTTACAGTCATAGAAACGCAAATCAATCCATACTATAATTTATTAATAACGTAAATGAGTACACAATGCCGAAGGCTTAAAATGATTTACTTCGTTCAACATTTTTGTTCGAATAAAAAATATATTTACATTCAATTGAGGAAATCAGCTCTGCAATCTAATATGAAAACCGCCACACGATATAAAATAGAGGATGTTCGTATTTGTCATAGAGTTTATCACAAATCGCATGGAGGAGTTCGCTGTGCACTCGGCTCCGCGCTGGTCACTGCGCCGGCACGACACGACACGACACTAGGCTACACTGCGGCGGCACAACTAACAACAAAACGTGCAATGGACCTCAAACTGTGCTCAACGGAAGACATTCATCATGTAACAAACGTGGCTATGTAGACAAAATCGATCTTCAATTTTAAAAACATTTAATTTTTTTAACATTAAAAGTACAACATACAAATACGGAAATTGAGCATGGTGTATTATAAATACTGGTGGCACTACACTAGCGCCGCGGCGGCGACAGGCGCGCCCTCTGCACTCTGTCCTGTGCCCTCTGCCCGCAGCGCATACCGGACTCCTCTCTGTCTCTGTCGGCAGGAGGCAGCAGGCCGCCTGATAGCAAGTCGATCAACCGGCCATTATGAGATATATATATTTACTGGTCCTGAAAGAGTCCGGTTGACCGGAATGGCTATCGGCACGCAATCCTACTTCCTCATCCACGCAATATATATATATATATATATATATATATTTGTAACAAAAGACTTCAATTGTATATTGATTATTCTTTACAATGAAAGCTTTAAAAATGAGCACACAATTTTGACATTGCTAAACAACAAAGAAATTGCTCTAACAAATGGAAGCAGTTTGGAGGAGGTACTACGGAAGTATAAGGTCAAAGTGCCCATAAATACGTGTGATTACATTTGCAGACATACAGGTGATGTTAAAAATGTGTCATCAGGTATGCGCTGTGTACATCCATTTACGATTAGTTTCAGACATGCCGTAGGGAGTCGTGCAATACACGGAGGGTAACCACTACAGTGTGGGACACAGGCATTAACAACGACCCTGCTAATTAACATATCGAGTATTTGTTTAAACTAACTCAACAGCGTCGACGTGTGCAATTGACGAACAAGTGATACTTAACTCACGCTACGTTAACAATACAGACCCGTGGGTAAAAAATGGCCCATCCGATGAAGAGAGTTACATCTATGTGATATTAATAGATGTAACTTTTTTCGTCAGATGAGTACAAGACAGGCGACACCGCCTTTATATTATATACAGTGGCTTGTGACACAACGTACTGGCAGCCTCGATGTTGCCAGCGCGGCTAGGGATGCACCTCGTATTACTGTCACTTTCTAATGCAATTATACATATTGTCGTCTCTATTTTTTCAAAGATAATGTGCGGGATGACAATATGTGTCAATAAAAATGTCACTACAGTAAAAACTGAAAGTTGTGATTACATTCGAAATAATTTACTATTTCACAGATTATTCACATTTATGATTTCATTGATATTATGATTACGTACTATATAATAAAAATTGAAAATAAATGTTTTTAAAAATAAAAAATAAATAATATAGTTTATATAATAACATACCTACAATTTCTAAGTAACGTGCTGATTAGTTATAAAAATAACGGTTATATACGAGTATTTGATTTCATTGTACAATTTTAGAGTTAACTTTACTATGAGTTTCGATTGACGTGACATTTATATTGAAACATATTACTGTCTCTATTTATTCAATAAGAATGTGCGGGACGAGAGATATGTTGGGAGAGGTGTCCCCAGCTGCGACGGCTGCTTGAGAAATCTTAACTATTATGCGCATTAACTATAACAATTGGTCTATAACCCGATTAGCAAAATTCTTTTATAAAGCCTTGGATCGTATAATTTGTGCACAGCGTAAAGAAACAAGAATAGTATGAAAATTTAATTTAACATCTCATAAAAACCGAGAAACAAATCGTGTTACAAAATACATATCATCCTTAACTTTAATGATTATTATATATTTATAATACATCGATCTTGATGATTTTTTTTTCAAAATCTTATTGTAGCACACTAACCATTTTGTCAGATATGTCATTTAAATTCAGATTTTCTCCAAGTAACAACAGTTTGGCTTAATTTATGAAATTTCTATAAAAACTTAAGTAATGCATTTCACTTTATTTCATTATTTTTTTTACATTTTTATTAAAATCACCTATAAAAACTTTTTAAATAACATAAAAAATAATCGCATATCGATTCAAGATGAGTAATCGAGACGTTTTTTGATACGACGTTTGTTATTAGGCTAAAACATTATAAAACTATACGCCCTCGTATCGCACCTCGCACCAAAACAAAAAGCACAGCACAAACCGCCTTCAAAACGCGTCTCGTTTACCCCTGTCGTAAAATAGATGTTTAAAGTTTGCAAGAAATATATGCATTTGTGACTCGAGTTCCATTACATTACAATACATGTTAAAACTAAAAGACGAATCATCAATCACATGTACTTTACTTTATGTACTTAGGTAGAAAAATTTGCATTACAAAAAAAAACTTAATAAACTAGAAATTACTAAAATTATACATTCACACATGAGTATTTAGCGATAAAGCATAAAAAACATTGTTCGAAGAAGCTGCAACATGACTACTGTTACGTGTATACTATTTGTAACTTAGACCCGCCAGCGTCAGCTACACTAAACGTTACTTGAATAATTCGTAAATCATAAAAATCAGATATATGACACAAGAAAGCTTAAACATAGACCGTACGGTACGACTTACAACAAATACACGAGCTCCGCGTTCCGCCACTATCACATGGAACCTTTACGAGGAAAGCACCCTTCATTAAAAAATATACTTGTGCGAAAGAGACTAGAAATATCTACAAGACGAGAATTGTCATGGATTTGTTGATCTGTATTTGAGTGTAGAGCGTGTGGAGCAAGGCGCCGGCCGCCGAGCCTTTCTCTCGTAATTATTAAAGCTATGGCTACAGGCAACGGCCGGCGAACCTCGCGCCCCAACACTTCCCTTGATATGTCATCAAAACACAAACACGTGCATTGCTTCAAACACCGTATTGTAGCTCCTACGTAAAGGTCTAATATATAGCAGACGACAAATATAAACATACCTTGAATAAACGAAACAAGGCAATGTTTAAAATCATGTACCTAAACTGATAACGTTTATGCCAAAAAAAACGGCGGCTACGTGTGAATCTTTCAGATCTTTTAGTTAAAACATCGTCACGAAACGATTATGGCAAACAAATTATATAGAAAAAGTTTAAAATCTAAATGGATTAAATTAATATTGAGAATAAAAACTTGTATTCCTTAAACGATCTATGTACGACTCATAGACTTTTTAAGTTTTTCCAAGTGAAAGACTATTAAATCTACCGGGAGGAAACGAAACGACGTGCTAATGCTCAGATAATGATGCTCATCAATCGATGGGGACTTTGTGCTTTGGTATAAACGTTGAGCGAATTCATCCACATCACAATACTTTACAACTCTAATGCAAATGTTAGATCTAACTTTACCACGCCTAAAGGGTTGGACCCGTACGCAAATATTGTTCGATAAAGAGTGTCACATAAAACTGTTACATCGGACACCACCGTGTGTGCCAACTCTAATACGAGGAGAAATCTCAATGATATGTAAGAACACTCTTATATACTACATCTAAAGCATTACGACTACGTGTCAGTAAAATTTTATCCTAGCGATCGAGACTCTGAATAAATGGAAAGCGCAATAAACCCTTTGATGTACGGGCAGCTGGCGGTACACGGCTCGGACCGGCACCACAAATATATAGCTATTTATAGCACGCGGAAGTCACAAGTACAGTTCCGAGGTAACTTCTAGACGAGAGCGTCATTCAGTAACAACTGAACAAATGGCACCGCATTACATTCGCACCACGCGACCTGTTACTAACAAACGAACAACACATATTCCAATCATTCGGTTATGGTTAAAATTGCATTTCATTCCTATTCATAGAAAATGATTGTGTAAAAAATAAATGAAACATCATGTTTCAACGATAAACATCCTAATGCCGGATCGGCAAGAAATATATAAATCGTATGAAAATTGATAAAACTTACCGCATTTACAATATTAAAAATTGATTCCACTAAAAAAGTTTCCCGACGATCGTTTCCCGCGTATTGTAGAAGCACAACAATAACATATCCGAATCGGAGGGTATTTATAAGATAAAATGTGATTCACTTCCAATATGTACAACTTCTACATGATATGCAAGTGCAAAGCTCACTAAATATACGTTACTTGTAACATGTTCTATTGTCATGGGCGTGAGGTCGCCCTTACGTTATGTTATGTTAGTAGTAAAATAGTTATTCTTATAAACATCTAAATGAATGCGTTTCAGTTTAGCTGCTCGCACTTGTATATGCATTTAACAATTTTACAATAGAGTATATAACTTAGTGAACTATTACGGTTAGAATTTTAATGACTTTGGTATTGTTGAGTCGGTGAAGCCGCCGATAGAGGACGCGGCGAACGCTACACTATGTTATCCAAGCTTAACACCAGCCGGCTAACACTAACTGACACCTAAAATTATGTTTGTACGTTTACAAAGAGAGTTCATTGTCATGTTACGTAAAGATGACCGAGGTTCCTTATTCGAGTTGTAGATTGTATCTCCTCCCACTTAGTACGGCGCAAACCTGTTGTAGCCGCTTCTGTACATCGCCGTCTGAAAACAGAACAAACGTAATGCTTACAAATTGTTCATCGATTTCATATTAATAATGAAATGTTAACGCATTCCCTTACCCCGTATCCAGTGACCGGCCCGATGCTATGCCCTAAATATGGGTCACCGTATTCTCTGCCGTACCTGCAAATGAAAGTAAAACAAAAATTTAAGAAACTAAGATTACAGGACTACAGGATTACAGGTTTTAAACAATGTAAGATGGTGTTAACAAACTCATGTTATAATATGGGGGTGTAATGTGATAATGAAGTTTAGTAGTTACATGACGTACGTGGCGGCGAGGGGCGTGAGTGCGGGTGCGGGCGCGGCGCTGGCTGCTGCTGCTGCGCGGGCAGCGGCGCCGTAGTTGGCCGCTGCCGCTGCCGCCGCCGCGTGCTGCGCTGTCGTCAGCGGGGACTTCAGCAGAGGCGCTGCCGCCGCCGCCGCCGCTGCCGCTGCCTGCGCACAAACATCAGTGTTACAGTGACTAACGACTGGCAGGCTCGACCGGTACTACTACGATCACAGACAACGTGGTGACGGAGGCCTCTTCCAATTCTCGTCTCATTTAAATGAGGAAAGAATGGGGAGGCGAAGAATAGAGAAGAGAAGAGAATAGGAAAGGGAAATATACTTTTTTGTATATTCTCTCTATCAAAGTGTATTGAGGCGAACATACTTACTAATATATAACTTATAATGTGAAAATTAAACGAAATTATGAAGTAACCATTGAAATATTGTTTAATTCTTGAAATTATTTTACACACTCAAGATTCACAATATGAGAACAACAATAAGTAAACTTGGAACTATTTTCTAGACTGTATGTCGTAGATTGTAGGTCAATAAAATAAGTGAATTGAGCTGGTTTACCACACCGATACATATACCTAAGAACTCTACCAACAAACAAAACCAAAACGTTGAAGTTGCATTTTCTTACCGAGCAGTGCTATTGGGATCGGCTGGTTTCATGTAGTTACGATGAATCAATGCATACCATAGCAAGATTATGTTTACATAACTTCACATTTTACGTATTCTATAGAAATTTCTTTAGTCGAAATACAAAGCGATTGTACACACAAACGTAAACTAATATACAAAATAAAAATTCTGCATTGCGTGTAATTAATAAAAAATCATGCAGCGTTCTTCTCACGGCTCCTGTTTACCCGTTAATGATTTCCTGCCGCAAGTTAACTTAACATGGTGAAATTCTCGACAGTCATGCAATATACACTAAATATGGAGATGGCACAAACTACTGGGATGACTCCTTCACAAGATCTACGACAAAGTTAGTATACAAAGAAAATGATGAGTAGGTGTTTCGAGCTAAAAGTTCTGTTCAGAGCGTGATGACGTAAGATCCGTTCACCACATAGCTAAATCTGCATGAATACAAAGCGGATAGTTTGCCGGCGACTGCCACCTGTCACAAACTGTGCACCTTATGAGGCGGTGTCTTACCGGAGCCAGACGTATAGACCAAGAGCTACCGATTCCCAGCACACACTGCACGACTTTGTCAAACTGAGGACTAGCTTGGTGGACATGATTTTAGTAAGCGATAGTAAACAGATAATAGTCACATATCGAGAGTGAGGGCTAAATGGACGGATTACCTCGACTGCGGGCTTCGCGGCCTGCAACAACACACACGGTCACCTACACTTACTCACAGTCAATATGGTAACATTATAATGAGATACGCGGTGTTAGAGAAGCGAACTGAGATATCTATGTATTTACCTGTAGTCTGTAATTAGAGTCGGCCGTCGCTGCCGCTGCTAAGAAGGGGTCGTAATATACGCTGTAAAACCAAATAATTTGTTAATAGTGTACACAAAAAAAAATAACGTCTTTTTTTCTCTAATTTCTTTGATTTTATGTTTTTGATATTTACATTTTTAAATCGGTTTACAATTGGGTGACTAGGAGCAATAATTATTAGTTGAGAGAGGCCAAAGTTTCCTAACTCCACGACTATTCGCATTTTTTGTTTTAACTATAAAAAGTATTTACGAATTCATTATAAAATTTGTGTCTATTATTATCAACGCTAAAGATATTAAGTTATCAAAAAACATTAAATTTATGTCGGTAATGCTTCTTGATTTCTTTATATAGTCAATGGAATTGTACGTTAAATATTGTTTCATATGAAATGAATATGTCCTAGTGACAAGCGTTACAGAGTATCTACAGCCAGAGTCTACAAATATATTTAATTATATACAACTATAAAATACTATGATGCTTATAATTATTTGGTAGCGAGCGTAGGCCCACGATCGTAATACATGCGGTGCTTGGTGCATAATTAGTACAAATACCTACGGATACTAAGTTATTTCACAGACATATATTAGTGGTACAGCACATTTATTTCTGCTAAATTCATTATAATGTGCATATAAGTTAATCTAATTAGAGAGTAAAAAATGTTAACTCCATACCAGCGGGCTCGAGGGATGGCGGGATAGCAGGATAGCGGGATGGTAGAATTACAGGGTGGAGTACAGAGAGTGGTAGGAAAAAGGTGCACGGCGTCTCCTGTTGAAATTGCGTTAGACTGATTGTTCCACTGTCGTGAATCTCTATCACATTAAAAAAACTTATAGGTTCAAATTTTTCCATTAATCTATTCGCTATTTTCTTGTTGGTACAATTAGTAAACATAACAAACTATATGGTAATTGAAACTCATACTCTTTTAACCAAAACTCAAATTGTTTCGGTCTAACTACAGTTATCTGGTAGAACCCATTTTGTAGTTCAAGAAAAGTATGAAAGAGTAAAATCTAAAAATGTATAAAATGTTGTTAATGACTATAAATCATCCATTTGACCATAGATATTGAGAAATAATAAAAGTAATCTGGGTGTAACACAAACTCCAAGTTTAAAACGAGGGAAGAACCTTTAGTCAATTAATGTATCATCTGAAAACTGTAAATCGAATGTATAATTGCGACAGGAAGGACAGGTGTAGGTGTAGGGACTGGGATGTGGGGGTGTGAGGTGATGGGGCGTGGAGCGTGGGGTGCGGTGTGCGCTCGCAGCGGGCGCGTACTCACGGCGCGTACGCGTGCAGCTGGGCGTGCGCGGCGGCGGCGGCGGACGAGGGGTGCGCGGCGGGCGCGGGGGGCGAGGCGTAGGCGCGCGGCAGCATGTGCGCGAGGGCGTGCACGGCGCGCGGCGCGGCTACATGCAACACACGGAGCATGCGTTTGGGACGGGGGTGGGGCACATTACCTGCGTCGCTGCGCGGCACGCGGGGCCAGCACGAGCGGCGGCGCGGGCGTGGCGGCCGGCGCCGCGCCCAGCCACGGCCACGTCACGCCGGACACCCGCAGCCCTGCGCACACAGCGCGCCCTCAGACACACGCACGCGGACACGTCGCCGCGCTCGAGTACCTCGCGCACCACCACGATACGAGTACCACACAACGACACACGCTATCGACAATCTAACTATCGACATGCTTCGTATCTTCTCATCCTTCACTACTCTAAACATCCCCATTTTGTTTGTTGCAAGAGACGTGAAGTTAAAATACAATTTTTTACACGCAATTGCAAACTTACTTTAGGTACTTTTCATGGACAACATTAATCATAAAATGTTTAGGTATTTTTTCATTCATTTCAATAACCATAGAAAATTTTAAAAATTCCAAGCAACAGTATTTTATTTGTTGAAGTTTGCTTAATTTACGGGGATCTACTAATCTGAAATATGCCTGCGAGATGTAACATTACTCCTACTTCCCTGGTGTAACGTGAATCGTATGACAACAACTTCCAAAGAAATAACACTGACATCAATCTATGTTACTATAAGTACTATTAGCTAAAATGCATATCAATTTACGTGACTAGAATAGTACATAATATTATTCACAACGAGTGTCCAGTATAACAAGGCCATGCCACATTACAGCACGAATGGAAATCACAAATATTAAATAGTCGGATGCTCACCACCGTGCGGACGATTAAATACATTCCTACTTTCTGCTCTAAAGAAGCATGGCCGTTAGGGTAATTTACAATGCCTTACGATCAATCCGTGACACATCAACTTCTCATCGAGCAAAAGAAACTAATAAACCATATACATAGTGTAAAGTCCCACCACATTATTAAGGAAAGTTCCATGCTCGAATGAATGTTATGTAATTAATGTAAACGCATAAGCTTTCAATAGTATTTGGAGTTACAAGGAATTGAAATAATGTTCCTCACCTTCCGGCCATTGCACGCACACTGAAACAAAATCAAATTAATATATTAGAATGGGGGACAAGTATTCATTACATATAACTAGACTAGCACAAAGAAGACAGGCCTAGAAGTCATTCTCCGCTACGGAATTGAAATATTGACAGTGCAAGGTAGAAGTTGCATTCCTTCTAGCGAACGTCAAGATAGAATTCTTTTGTAGACAAAGTGGTATGATAACGTAGCAAGCTGTCTAAATTTGGTGTTATCCGAAAGTGTTATAATCAGGCAAGAGATGCCGGAGACAGCCATCACAAATCACATTTAATGAGCATATTAAACAAATATTTTGATATAAAAGAAACATTTCTTGGGATTATCTATGTATGTAGCAAAAACAGCGTAACATGCATTAGGCATGCCGGCGACAGAATTCATTACAACATTTATAAACTAATATAAATATAATAATACGTATTTTTTTATAAATGAAACAGACTCAGCAAATAAACTGGCCGAAAAAATAAAGAACGCATTCGTCTGGTCGTTTAATTCATCAATGGAAATCAAAATGATTTGCCAATCATTTAAAATGTTCAAGATGGCGGCGGCAACGCTCGGCTCAGACTTAGACTGTCTCCGGCGATGACAGTGGACTCGTTCTCTAAATAGCATTCACCTACTTGCATTCCGACAAAGTATCTAGCCAACATGTAACAAGTGAAAACATTAACATGGACAACACCGAGTTTTAGTATGGCAGCTCTCTCACCCAAAGTGGGAACTGATCCATTTCTAGCCAGTATAACTGGATGGATTAAAAGAGAAAAATCGCATGATGCATTATATTACATAAAACAGATTATTAAACATGTTAAAACATTTCATCATTTTAATTTAAATGTATACGTGATATTTAAAGTTCGATTGAATCAATACATTATTATTAGGATTTTTAGCAGGGACTTACCGTTAGGGACCGCCGGTGGTTTCTTAGTTTGTACCCTCGCAGTTGCATTATTAACCTGATTAGGAATTAAGCAATATGTCAGATAATATCAATGCTAACAAAGCTGTTAGAAATGTTAAATTTGATTTTATAATTGAAAAAAAAAAGATAATTTAAATGAAAAAGAATGATTCTAGCAATTAAATTTATTTGCTCAATAAGAAAGGTACTGCTATGATGCCGGACTGGTCCTGGGTCGAAAACTTATACATAATTATGTAATAGATTTAGAAGTGGATGTGTACCATGTTTGAACACTACAGAAAGTTTGAATGTGTTTGAATAGATATGAGGAGTATTATATTTTATAGAGAATTTATCAATCTATATCAAATGGTGTATATTAAATAACTCAAGACTACTTCGTTGTCTCTATGCAAATTTTTCACTTTGATTTAAATTGCAGTCATTTTTTCTCGTATAATTTTCAGTAATTACGAATTAACATTCAAACAATAATGAATAATTTCTTAGCTTCATATGTAAAAATTGACAGACATCAAAACGTTAAACAAATAATAAACTTAAAAGTGCATTGGCTGTCTTACCTCGTCGGTATGAGACGGTACGGTTCGTTCTACATTGTTCTGTGAGACAGTCTCTCAATCAATCGGCATTTTAAATGACCGTCTAGAGAGTAAAGGGATAATAAAATAAATAAGGTTTGTTTGTGGATTAGATGAGGGGCGGGGCGGCATACTTATAGTGCTAAATGCGGCCGGCGCGGCCTGGGCGGCGGGCGCGCGCACTAGCATGTTGACTAGCAGTAACTACTGAGCAGAGGGCGCGGAGGGTTGCGGTGGGCGTGGGCGTGGGCGTGGGCGGGATGTTAAAGTTACATAGTGCTACGGATGGTATCATTGAATCATGCAGACCTCTATCTTTCTGCCCTCAACCACGGTGCCGTGAAGACGCTCTCGTGCTCGCTCCGCATCACCACTATTTGCGAATGTTACAAAACCGAATCCCTGCATGCAAGACAGACAAAACATGCATTAAAAACAGCGTCGCTCAAAAAACAACGTGCAACAAAAATTAACATTTATGCATTGCATATTCTTTATTTAATAAACATGGTTGTGAGATATCGACAGGATTTTCGTTTCGGTTACGTTGCCGGTTTGAGCGTACTCTAGCTGAATGACGGGGGACACAGAAGCGGCGCCACATCGGCCAGCGGTCAGCTAATGTCATTTAATATCTCTTATTGGATCTAGCGCTCGGTACTATCGGAAATTTCATTACGACAAAAACCTATGTGAAGGAATTCTTTTGAAACTAATTCGATGGACACTACTTCAATCAATCAAAATATCTATCTGTTTCTGTATGGGATGTTAGCTGCAATTTGTTCTCTAAAAGTCATCGGACATGCAGTTAACTCAAATAAACAGTTTTCAACTAAGAGAATGGTTCACCAACAAAAAATCTTCATAAGATACAGCATGTACAAAATACTGTGGATATGTATTGATGGATCGTATGTTTATGTCGATAATGAACTGTCATCATAGCGTCTGATTTCGATAGCTACCATCAACCTAGAGGTTTTGAAAAAAATATTGTGCAAAAACTGTACAGTGCCAAAACACAAAAAATAAATTTGATTCAAAGCAATATATGCCATTCTATAGTCAATGTATTCATTAACTCTTTAGCATCTCGTATTGAGGTTGTAAATATTATTTTCTTATGCATTGAATATAATTTTCCCAAAATTATCAAGTTTGTTTCTTATCGTGCATAAGGTAAAATAAACTACTGTTATAACATGGTGATAACCCATAGATACAAAAAGCAGCTAGCACAGCACACAATACAGTGGAAGAGACGAGTCGTGAAAGTGGCAAACGAGTTGCTGATTGTACGAAACGCTTACATTTATTTAAAGCATGACAGCTCTATTATCACAATTACCATTCTGGGTGCACATATTTTATCAATAAAATGTAAAAATAACAATAAATTGGGCAGAGAGAAAGAGAGAGGAGACCGTGTGACGATCGTAATCAAAATGTAAGCTTCATGTGTAAAGGCGACGTCGTCGAAGTAAAGTTGCCCGATCGCGACTGTTATCAACTACTCGTATTGGAAACATCGCTCTAGCGGACGGGGAAGACACTAATGCCATTCTCCAGAATAAGCCAAACTAAGTGATGCACCAAAATTACTTCTATAGAATATTTAAGATACGTTATCATTTTATAACACAGAAAAGTAATTAGGGTCAGCGAAGTATACATGCCCAAATACTAATGAAACATTGTGTCCCCTTGTTAGGAAGCGCATGACTGAGAAATCTAGGATTACAACAAAATAACATTTTCAATCTAATAGAATCAGATTAAAGTATATTTCAGAATGACGCATCACCCAAACTACACACATAGGAAAGTTCAATCTAATCATAAACAAAAAGCCATAGACACGTATAAAATAACGTTCCCTCCTCGTAAATACAACTATGAAGAGCAAGCGGTGCAGTTTGGACGATAGTAAAATATTTATTAGTGATGAATAATAGAGCTGTCCTGAAAATGTGACGTAGAAAATCAGCTGTTATAGTGACGATGCATTTTTTCTCTAATACTGCATATCCCAACGTGAGGCATTGAAGAAAAAAATAATTCCGAGCTATTATATCAAAAGAGTAAATACGTTTCAGACATGAACGGGCATTTACTACTGTGGGATCGGTCACCAAACTGACACAAGGAAAGCAGTAAACACGAAAAAGCGATCAATCCAATCAATTTTTTTTTGAAGTCACTTTCAATCATCTCTTTCTACATTGTTACAACTGTAATGTTCCACATTTTACAGTGAGTTGTTTTTTGAGTATATCAATATATTGTGAAAATTGATTAATGTTGTCCTGGACACTCGTACCAATGACACGCTTTTTGTTCCCACAATACATTTACAGAATACTTAAAGAACATTATAAAATCTAATACAGAAAAAACTAAAAGCTTGTCAAAGGTACAAATAACTTAACATAACAGAACAGATCAGTCAAAATCAGATTACATTTTATAATTACTGTTTAATGGAAATATACAATGCAATTAGAAATACTGCACCAAATATTAAATCCAAGAATACGCTATGAGATAGAGTTTGTTTTAACACAAATAAATAATATAAAATTTAGTCTAAGCCCTTTTATATTGAGAGTCATGAAAGCTTATATTAATGAAAGGCATTTTATCTTGAAGAGATAAAGTACATATTTGTAGGGAATTTTATAATTCAGTTTGGGCAAAAGTAATTTTTATTGGCCTTCTTAGCTATTGTTCGTGAAAAATCAACAATTTAACACGCGAAGTTTCTCACTTAATAAAAATATATTTTCCTGGACAATAGCTAAGAAGGTAGTTTGTGAATTACAGGAAAAAAAGTAACAAAGTAATGATTAAAAAATCCAATATTTCTAGATAGATCATTTTATTACATACGAAAATAAAAGACATATTAAATAGCTAAAAACTTTATAAGATGTTTGTATTCAACAACTTTGACAAATAGTTTCGCAGGATATTGATCGATTAATAAGAGTTTGGAGTTAGGGTAAAGGTCTTTAATTCCTATAATTCACAAATATATAGAAGCAATAAACATTTTATATGAAATGGTAATCGGTAGTACTTCGAAAAGTTTTAATTTTTTAATAATAACATAATTAATAAGTTTTATCATGTAGGCTTACGGCTAATGTCCGTTTATTATAATGTCATAAAAGTAGTTTATTGCTTCATAAGACGCGCGGTCTTATAATAAAAATCGCCAAAGTGGCCACAATGAAATCCACGTTAATGTCATGGATTTCAGGGCCACTTCATATAGACTAGAGGAGGAGGCAGACGTAAAACGGTGCTTACCTTCGAGCCGCGTTCGTTGAAGATAATTTCTACATCAAGTATCGTGCCATATTGCTGAAATAAAAACATCGGTAGTTAAAGTCGGTATTCAAGCGAAGTGTTGTCATGCAGTGCGCGAAATTATAACAAGAATAAATACGTACGCCGAACATGTTCCTTAGATCAGGGTCTCTGAAGCGGAAGGGTATATTGGAGACGTGCAGGCGCTTGGGCTGCGAGCCCTGGGAGACGGGCACGACGAGCGCCTTGTCGGAGCCGGCAGCTGCAGCGGCGACGGCGGCATTGGCGGCGGTGGTGGCGGCGTGCGCGGCCTGTGCTGCATGAGCGGCGTGCGCCGCGTGCGCGGCTGCTACCTGCTGCGCCGCCGCCTGTTGGGCCACCGCCGCCGCCACGCTCACGGGGGTGCTCTCATCTGTGCCTTCGTTGTCACTTTGCTGTGGATCACGTATGTACACATATTTAAATAATAGAAAATAATATGCTTTTATTTAGTCCTAATAAAAAAGAAGTTACATGAAATTTAATTTATATGTATGTTTAATGTGACTTTCCATTATGTAAAAGAAATGTTATTAATATTTTATCTATTTTTACTATCGATTTATGGTAAATCCTGTTTGCTTTACATATATTAAAAGGTTAATTCAGCGTCTGAGTCACAAGTAAGTTGATTGTTTGTGCACATTGTTGCTAAATTTGTAAAGTTAGGGGCGTGCTTAGATCGAAACCGCGTTAACTGCTAATTTAATATCGTCCCTGAATTAATTAATGTCCTCGCTTTTCTAAAATGTTCCAAAGATAACATTTTATTGTACGTATTCGGACTGTCACCAACATCCTTATAGTTACCGTTACCGAATAGAACGTAATAGGCTCATTCCAGCTCTTTTAATTCATGGACTGGGTTGTTAATTTAAATTTTTAAATTGATACTCTCCAAATACCCGTGAAGTTATAAACTAAAGCATTACTAAAACGTACGCATTTATAACTGTCGAAATCATGAACGTTATGAATAGTAGAAATATTTTTTCTATTTTAAACCACTTAAGTGTTTTAATTTAAGATTGCGTCGTTAGGTTCTGAAGCGGCGTTGGCAGCCGAACCTATTAATATTTTAGATACGCAAAGATTTGAGCCCAACGACAGCCGCTATAAATTAGCGTTGAAGAAATATAAAGTAACAATTAATTTAAATCCCGTTTCAATTTAGGTCAATAATGTCGGATGTTTTTAGTTTATTCCACCAGATAAATCGATAATTAATCTTCAAAAAATAGTGAATGTAAAGTATAATATTACTTTTCACTTCATGTTTTTCATTAATTGAATTCAAATTGTAGCATAGCATAGTTGTAGATGTACTTACTGTGCTGTTATTTTGACTTTCTATAGAATTCTGTGCGTGGGTCTGTGGCGGCGGTTGCGGTGAAAAGTTGGCGGGTGGGAGCGGTGTGGGCGGAGGCTGGCCCTCGCTCTTAACGAGCTGCCCCTGCGCAGGCTGCGGCGGCTGCTGCGAGGGCTGTGAGACTGCAGGCACGCCGGCGGCCAGCTCCGCCTTGCCAGCTAGAGCGTCGCCATTGGCAGCGAACTGCGCCGCCGCCGCCGCCGCGGCCGCCGCGGGGAACGGGTTCCCCATGCCCGTGCCGACCATGTGCTGGAAACATAAGATTGCCTTTTGTATACATATTTTTAACAGTGGTAGAGCTCGTTACAACATCTGTCTCACGATTGATCTGGTTCAACCATTAAAATACTACAACCACACATAAGATAGGCGATAAGTGGAAGTGAGTATGGCGAATACAGGTGGGAGCTTGCTCGTTTATCACCTTATACTATTTAAAAAGAAACAATAAGCAAATTTATTTGGAACAGCGTGCATACTTTAGACCAGACTTGATATTTATTTTTATATTTATTTATAATTTCTCATTATCGTAGCGTCATTATCTTATTGTAACAAACTGACCAATGAAGCGTGCAACACAGATATAATTACTAGTAGACCTAGCGCTTAGATAAGGTCAGAGAAAAGATGGCATGCAAAAAATTTAATAAAAAAAAAAAGTATAATAACAAAAAAGTTTAAACACAAATGCACATAGTGAGTACAAAGCACGTGCAGCATTGGGCAGAATGGTTTGATTATGTAATCTTGCAAAATGTGTTATGTGATTAGAGAGAAGTCTCGTGCCAAGATTAGTCGTTTGCCCGATAGCAAAAGCGGCCGACAAGACGATGTCGACCTGAGCAATTTATAATGTATAAATTTGTCATTGTAATATTTCCCGAGTCGATTTATATACATCAGTAGCTACTTGTATGGGTTTAACTAAAATTCGCTTTAGATAGCAAAGTCCTCTGCGAATACAAACAGACCTTCACGTATCTGATATGTCGCGTTCATGACTGTCGGTGCGCCAGAGATAACAAGAAGGGTCCAATGCGAAGTGGAGGATATGTACGCACATTACAGTAACAAAAATATATAAAATAATAAATTTCTTGTTCGGTTCATACATTTCTCAAACTGGAATATTAAGCGCAGGCGTCTATATGCAAAATTTATAAACACGCAGAAGTTATTTCTATTTGATAAACGTAAATATTTGTTGTAAAGTAATATTATGAAGTGCTGTTTTTCCGAGCAGTGGCACGATCGCAGCCAAATAAATCGCCACGACAACGCCAACATTAATTATTATATTATTAAAATTTAATTGGATGCGCAACACATGCTAGCATTCTGTTTCAGGGCCGAGGCGTATACTAATTTCGTAGTAATAAATACGGGCACTAGCGCCCTGACGTTACTGGGCTGCGCTTCGAAATATTGACATCGTATGTGCGCGGCTCTGCCAAAATTCTCAGCGTGCGCTATAAGTGCTTGGTGTATGTTGTAAACTTTATAAAATTATGATACAGGTATGTTTTATATATACATATCTTCTCTATTTATCTTATTTAAAACCTATTGTGTATATAAAAACACGAGTTGTAAGTATTTTTTGGGTTGCAATTTTTAGTAGTTGTACGATTTTGATAGTGTGCCAACTTCGGACTGTACTATCGAGAAAAACAAGCAGAAGTTGCCCTAAAAAGTCGCAAAAGTAAAAAGGTCTGTTTTTCTGGGAACAATGGAAAGCTAAGCTGTGAATGGGCGCTGCGGAACTAATCTGGCTTTATGAGGATTGCACAAATATTTTGTTGTGCGCTTTTTTGTTTCGTTCGGGATAAGCTCATGTGTGCACGTATATTTATGAATATTTTAAATGTCAAAGGTTCTATTTGGGACTAATTAGAAAAAAAAACAAATGTTAAATCGAAAACTAGGTTCGAATCTGACGAGATTGTACAAAGGTAGAGCGAATGAGTTAAAGACCGGTTGAGTAGCACATCTTGGTATCGACCCATAATAGTATGAATAAACACATTGAATATTTGTGTATGTACAGCCTAACCAAGAATATAAAAATCCTGGCCTGGGGGCACTTCTTTCGGCTTCTCCATTACATCACTTTCTAATGTAAGCAAAGAAATAAGATCCATATTTTCCGCAACATGGCGAGGGTTTTCATTACTGGTTAAACTATAGTTAATAGTACAACATTTATAATGTAATGTGCCTTTCATTATACGAAAAATATCAATAAAACATGTCTGTTTACTAAAATTTAGTATGAAATCAAACAACCATTGGTACAATAGCACATATTATTTTAAATCCTATCTAAGGTTATCAAAAACTTACCGTTCACTTGACGCAAGTATTAATTTAACCTTCATGTTAAAGTTCACAGCTAAAACCATTTTATCTAAGCATTATATCTGATTGTTCTTTATTAAAAAAATATTTTTCTATATAGTTTTATTAGACTTTATCAAACAGTATTTGAAGGGTACTTGTCTTCAACTTTTTTGTTTATTTCTCCCTGAATGTCATTAGGAGATTTCCATCTACATGACACTGATATCTGGCTCATTTGATGATTCATAGCAACAAAGGTTAAATGTGAACGTGTGAAATATTATTAGATGCTAGCAGGTTTTTAAGGTGCTATAATGGACGGAAAATAATAGTTACGATATGCAACTTTAACCTTATGACCGCCAACTACTTTAAATGTAATGTTACAAAAAAAGCTAAGCAAAATGGTAATAGGTATATTGATGAGCAATTCTTTAAATGATTTCATATCCAGTTATAATGTTACGAAATAAACATTATTACATATCTACTGGAGAATGTAACGAATTTGTGTAAATAGAAAAAAAAATGTATTATTTTAATGTAGCAATTCAACCTTTAGCTAACATTGTTTAAGCAAATAAGTAAGTAATAATGTTAGATTGCTAAATCGTGTAAGCGAAAAAAATATTTACAACACGAGCGTTGTTATTTAATTTAGGTTACAAGTCGTCGGGAGCAAAATTAAATTGCGAACTCGAGCCCTACTCCCTGCCTACGCCCTCCCCTCGCCGTCCACCTCCGCGACTCTCACATCAACACAGCCTTGAGACCCCGCTACTACCATGATTTGGAATAGCCCTTTCATTCTCCTACCTATAAATCACATCGAGCCGAAATCGGTTTTACGTGTTTCATATGATTTATAACAATACTGATGTTGGTCTACACAATATTAAAAATACTCTGCGATTTCGTTATTATTCACCTTACGTGGACCGTAACCTTTAACATATTACATTTAAAAAGGTTATAAAAACTCAATTACCGAGTTAACACATATAGGACGTTACTACGGACGCCGAATACAATATCAAAATAAGCTATATTATGGATGGATATCTTTTGGTAACTAAACTATTGTCGTAATGGAAGGACACTCAGATTGAAATGTAGTGATAGGTGAAAATGGAGATAGCGGATTTGGCTATGGAAAAATTCTAACTACCATTTTTAATATATGCCCATGTAATAAAGCGTGTTGCAGATTTGAAATGAAGCACGTAATTGTTGACGTCTGAGTCCGGAGCCGCAGCGCTCGTCGGCGTCAGGAAACGAGAAAATTAGGATGTGGTTATTGAGAGCAATTGCTCCGACTGCGACCGCAACTGCGTACTATTTGTTACGTATACGGCGCATATTTAAATTGAAGGACTCACAACATTCTTATATTATTATCGTCATTTACAAATTCGTATTTCCACAAGATTTTCCAACTTTTCTCCTTGCTGTATTTTTGCTGTCAATAATTGTTTGTTTTTTTATGTTTGATCTTAATGCATGTAAAAGATCTCAGTACAGCAACATATGCCAACATTAACATTATAATTTAATGAAGATATGTGATGTGGTTTGTAGAGACTGACTTGCGAGCTCCGGCATCTCCGGAGCTCTCACGAGTAGATTAGTTTCCTTGACTATTGAATTTTCACAACACGCGCCGCAACCTAAATGAATCTGTTATCTAGCCCCAACAGGAAGCTGTTACTCCTCGCCCCCCTCGTAAACGTGTTAACTGCCCCGTTTATGTTCCACTTGTGTAGGGATTATGAACAAAGTATTTAACACTTGTGTACTTTATAAACGATACATTATATAAGATTTTCATTTTACGATCGTTTTATGAACGTATGTATGCTACACAAGATGAGCGTTATTCAGAAAATAAGATTTATAAGACAGATTTAACGATGTATTATAATGATACGATGCGATGAGTAAAAGTGTTAAGAGATTAAAACTTTACTCGTTACGGTTTAATATACAATACTTTCATGTATAGAGGAGACAAAACAAAATATGCAGTAAAAACCATTTGTAAGTACATACGAGAAGAACCTTACGTCCGGTAAGCGACTGTGGCCCCCTGCCCTACAGCGCCACCCCAGTTTTCCTCTTACATTCCCGACATAGGACCTCATTTCTTGTTTTCCTGCACGCCACCGATTGCTTTTCCTGCTTTACTTTCTAACGAAGTGTTTAAGAAGAAATGTTTTTGCTTTGATTTAAATCTCAATCCGGTTTTGCTCAATGTGAATTTTATTGCGGTAGTGTTCTGGTGGTCTAACGAAAAGTAATAGTCTGTTTGACCTAATGATACATGCGTAAAACTGTTTGAGGTCATCTAAACTGGTTTTTGTTTTTGGCAGTACCAATAAAATAACTATCTTATATATAAAACTCTCGTATCACAATGTTCGTTCCCATACTCCTCCGAAGCGGCTTGACCGAAACTCCAATATATATATTGGAAAATATGATAGGTTTAAAATTAAATGAAGTATGTATTAAATCGTCTCTTGCGAAATGCGGATTTCATCTAAATATTGCAGCAGTTTTAAGACTAATGTCAAATTTTAGTTAAAATGCAAACGTTCCAACAGATCAAAACCTATATTGTATGTTCATTAAAAATACTCACAGAAAAGATCTTACTGAAAGAAAAGAGAAAGCGCCGATTGAAAGACAATACAATTCAAGTTCGTTAGTGTCTGGCCGGTGCGGCGAGAGTGGTGAACCTTTGCGAACATTGAGTGGAATTATTAGCACCCTGCATTCGTGTAGAAAGCGTGAAGATGAAAAAGTTACGAAATAAATATAAAATTTATAAGAAATTTCTAACAAAAACTTTGATTCAAAATGAAAAAGTAAATTACGGAAAAAGTATTGAAGAAACCTTTGGAAAC